TCCCTAGGTATTGCAAGACTTGCTCAATTCCCATAGGCGCGCCAGAGTCATTCTAGGAGACACATTCTAATTTCATTTGAATGAATAAGTCTTGTTCTTCTAATTGAAGTGGTTGCCTACCTAAGTTGAGTAGTTAGACAGGCAGGTATGTTTTGTCCGAGTGATAGTTTTGCATTTCTTCTCACTTACCCACCCGCACAATACTGTACAATTTTACTCACCTGCACAATCCCACCCACCTACTTCATAATATTCGTCCGTGCCTGTTTGTACAAGTTGACTAACCCAACGAAGATTATGCTGACTAACGCGCCCGCGATGCGCGACTCGCCCGATTCGACCGGAAGCGCGGTGGTGGAGATGCGTAACCTGCGAGCCGAAGTAAACCCGGAGATGTATATGGGCGAACCACTCTCGACATACTCCGAGAGACCCATCGCGCCTGATCCTTGATCACCCCCCGCGCCAAGCCTTTTGACGGAAGACCCACGGTCCTTGGCGGTGCCCACTCCGTCTTCTCACACTAATTCCCCGCCCCGCCATCTTTAAACAGCGGCGATCCTCCTAGTGTCCCTTTCCACGACCTGAGGCGCTATATAAATTGCAACCGCATGAGGTATGACTTGTCCATATGCGTTGGGCCTCCGGGGCTCGACGGCACTTTGCACAGCTGTCTATGCTGCAACACCACAGTCCATGCATTTGATGATTGCCCTAGGCGAACCTCATGAACCATGACCTCAGGTATTACCGCCTAGTCTTACTCAGGGGTCGCCGAGCTCCTATCAGCACCCGACAGGACTACCTCGGGATGGCAGCCAGCCGCGCTCCTTCTGAATTTTACCCATGGACGCGAGCGTACGCTAGAGATATTCCCCCTTCTATTATATTTGCTAGTCACGACTACTCACGTAATGATCCCAGAGTACTACCCTTAGACCCAGTGACGGCAGACAGAGCCGTAATCCGGAGGACGCGGTGCTATGCCCTGAAATTACCAGTAACTATGCGACAGCTGGAATATCTCAACAGTGTGTATTCATACAATACGTCACTGCCGGATGATTCGTCCTCTTCTTCTAGCTAGGGGAACCACCAAAGACTGATTACAGGGCCACGCAATGCCGGAAAGATACAGAGCAACTTACATAAACTAACACTTTCCTTAACCGCAACATATTACTATAGGGCTACATACCCTCGTTTTAACATGGGTCTTACAGCTTATGGCCTATTACAGCCAAGCATTCTCCGCATTCAAGGCTGTCTCCTTGCCTTCAACGCCGTCCAATTTCACGGTGATGTCGCGTCGGCCGGAGAGCGTCTGGTTAAGTCATTGAAAATAGATGCCAAGATTTTGACAGGGATAAAGACGACAATGTTTCACAATCCTCGGCCGACGGACTCGAACTTCTAGGTCGAGTAGTCGAAAGCAAATGGAACAACAGGTTGGTGAGTCTGATGGCAGGGCAAATGATACTTTCAGTATGGATAGCCGGAGGCTTTCATAGTTAGCTTAGAGCTCCTCGCGTAACAAACAAGTTTTATCCATTCTTCTTGTTCTACCTCGTGATCTAGTAGCTCCTTTCTATCAGTCATCCCAACACATACCGCCTCAATGACCTAGACAAAGTCCAAAGCCCCCATCCCCTCTCCCGGTTATCCGTTGGCCTACATAAATAACGTACACAATCAAGGAGAGACTCAATATCCTCGTCTGCCGAGTTGTTTGCAAGATGTTGTGGCCGATCTGATTAATATGATAGGATAGTTGCCAGGACTACCAGCCAGTCAATCAAGGCTAGCAAAGTATCTTGCCATCTAATTCTGTAACTTGTTGCTGTGCCTACACTGGCGGATTGTTGTCATATCACTGGTAACTGTAGAAACATAGAGAACAATACAATAAATACCTATTTAATCTTAAATAGCGGTGCCTGACCTAAGTGCGAATGCTACAAGTTGTACTAGCTCTAAGAAAGCAAGTACCAAGTTCTTGTGGGGTCGCTGCTTTGGATTGAATGTCACTCATCTAGAAAGTGCTGCCTAAGATTCTGTACACTTCTAGGGGGTTTTTTTTTTTTTTTTTTTTAAACCCCTCAGTTCATCCCACACAATCCAACCTTTCTACAACCACGTTCCCTCTATTCTCTCTCGCAACAACATTACACTATCATCCTTCCCACTGCTGAGTTTCAAGTCAGACAACATAGCACTATGGACATTCAGACAGGAGAGTTCAAATATAGTGGGGGTGAGTTGATGGAGAAGCTGAAGACCTGTTGGCCGGACGCTTTCGCTCGCTCTCTAGGCGAGCGGCACCTATGCTCCGCTCTAGACATCATCCGATGGATGGTAGTGACACTATTGAAAGATGGAAGTTTCTTCGACAAGGGCACACGTCTAGGGCCGGTGCCATGTGCACTAACCGACTTCCCAATTCCAGAATTTTCTGATGCGCAAACGAGACGCCAATATGAAGAAAAGATCGCTTACGTCTATAGTCGTCTTGCTAAATTTGGAAGGAATGGCAATCCTCTAGACCTCTTCGATGTTCTCGAGAATAAGATGATGACCGAACAGTTTTGGTTCAACCGTCGTTACCTCATATACAAGACTACAGCATACGAAGATCGAGGCGAAGGTATACAGGAGATCAAGTTAAACGCCAAAGATATCGCGAAAGAGGGTCTCATACGAATAAAGTATCCCGAAGATCTCCCCATAGCCATCGAGAAAATATTATCACCCTCCGGGTGCGAAGGAACAGAGTATTCCAAATTCCACGCCCCAACGCCGCCCTTATTTATCCGCGTCTTTTGGGACAATGACCTGTGGGCTGCATTCGATAGGGGATCCCCGTTCGAAACCTTGCAGCAACTGACAGTAAAGTACAACGACATACGGGTCGAGGACAACGCTATTGTCTCATCACAGAGCTCGGCCTCCTATCGTCTTATCTGTCTTGCTAGAATTTCCCCACCTAACGAGGAACCTGTAGCGGTACACCTCTATAATTGCGATGGCAGCCACTTTTTACCCCCATATGGGAATGATAAAGACCAGAGCTGGTCTTGCAAGGAACCAGGAAAGTATTACCTAATGTATTACAAGTCCGACAGGCCACGATACAGGTCAGAAACCCGCTACCTAGCCGAACGCAAAGCCCCAGAGCCAGAGCACACCCGTAAGGAAAGGCAAGATACGAGCGAGTTCTTGAGACGAGAATTCACTTCAGAGAAACCCCTGAAAAAGATACAGGCTGCTTCGAGGGTCAAACAGCACGCCATCATACATGCTCCACGAGTTACATCGGCTGATAAATCAGTGCAGCACTCAGCGCCTAGTCCCCGACCTACCACCAATGCAAGCCCAGTGCCGCATCTAACGCCTGGCCCCCAAGTCATGACCAAGCCGATCTCAGTGCTGGATCCTGCGCCTACTGCCCTACCTGCAGCCAATCCAAGCCCAGTGTCGCATCTAACGCCTGGCCCCCAATTCATGATGAAGCCGACCTCGGTGCTGCATCCTGCGCCTGGTTCTCAGTCTGGCAGCAGTGTGTCTGGAGAGTCTAGACAGATTCGTCCTAATCCCACTTTACATGACAAGCATGGCCCCCTGAAGCGTGGACAACAGGACAAGGTGTTTCAGCAAAATATGCCTTCTAAATTGTCGCTGTCGACGGGTCCTTCACGGCCGGCCCGCGTAGTCCATTTTGAAGATATGGATGAAGATGAGGACGAAGGAGAGAACGAAGGAGAGAACGAAGGAGAGAACGAAGGAGAGAACGAAGGAGAGAACGAAGAGGAGAACAAAGGAGTAAAAGAAGAGGAGAACGAAGGGTGGGAGTATCAAGAGGCTCACATGCCTTCCGAGCAAGGTTTGCAGCAGCCAGCAGGTGCACCAAAGAGAAAGAGATTCGCTCGCGGTAAGGGGAGACGAAGAGGTCGCGCGAATATGCAACACGGGCCGAGAAATCGATACTGGTCAAGAGAACAGTCTAGGCCTAATAATGTTGACACGCACATTCCCGGGGACCGGCGAGGTCGCGACCGGCAATCAAGATCCCGATCACCAGCTCGTCACTCGCGGGACTATGACGATAGATATCGGCAGGAACAAGACTTGCGATCAAGATCTCGTCCTCGTCCTCGTTCTCCAAGTACCCACCCCCGGCAGTATAGGGATGGCGATTGGCAGGGACAAGACTCGCGATCGAGATCTGGTCCTCGTCCTCGTTCTCCGAGCACTCACTCCTGGGGGCGTAGGGATAGAGACCGGCAAGGACGAGACAGATCTCGTTCTCGTTCTCCAAGGGGTCGCACGGATCGCTCATACCGCGATCGATAATAATACATGCCGCCCGGGTCTTTCTAGCTATAGTTTAGGTACTTAGGTATTAAGGATAGCCTTGCTGAAAATGTACGGCTGTATAGACTTCTGTTTGTGTCTCCCTCGTAACTTTCGCCCACCACAGAATGAGGCCCAAAATAGGCTTTATTACTGGGAACAAGCGAAATTAGGCCCTACTAGGTACCGGCTGCAAGCAGCCACAATATCTTGTAGAACCGCACGAGGCACCGGAAAGAAGGCCTTAAAACCCCAAATTCCAACCTCTAGATAGATTACACTCTCTTTTGTCCTTTTCTCATGTCAGGCGATACTCTAGCTCTGTTCCCTTCAAGGGAGTACTCTAGACGTCTAAAGCGCCAGAGATGCGCCGCTGTAATTACGCAAGTAGATATAGCAGACCAATAGACGTAAACGTTATCATCATCATCATCATCCCTCGTAACTTTTTAATGTCCTAGACTCCTAGGTACCTAAGTAAATAGGTAGGTACATAGTACCTGTTTTGAGCGTAGATGCCTATTTTGAGCGTAGATAACGTGTTCAAGTGAGGTACTTTATCCCTTATCTCGTAATATCAAATACACATTCTCTTCTTAAATTCTTACCTGGTTTTCCTTCCTGCACAACCATATTTAGCAACACCGCAACCTATCTCGAAACACCATCTTATCAACGAATAAAAAACAACAAGATGGCAGATTTATCCCGCTGGGGTATCCAACCCCCCCAAAATCCACAGTTACTATCGTGGGAGACTGCGAAGGGCGACCTCGAGCATTTTCTTGGATCAAACCACAATGAGGCATCAGCCGCCCGACTTGCACACATCGAAGGCCCGCATGGCTCAGGAAAGAGCACCGGAATGATAGAATTCATCTGGGAGAAGACCCATGCCTCCGACCACGACAATGTGGCCATCTACGTGCCGGCATTCGGCCTTGAAGCTTTGATGCTTTCTGCCTACTTCCAGACGAAAGCGTCGCCACACCAGAAGCTAAAGCAAAATATCTGCGTCGGCCTTGAGAAACTCGAGTCAAAGCTCCACCTAGCAACTGCTGCCCAACTCCGTACCGCTCTCCGCGGTGTACTTCGCACGGGTACGCCCCGTCGGGTCGTTCTCTTGATGGACCTAGAACTGTCCCCCACAGCCGACGGCGAGCTCCTCCTCTCCGAGCTGGTAAAGTGGCATCGAGGACTAACACTCAACTGTGACCTTACTCTAATCACCATGGCTTCGTTTACGCGTCCGCCTGTGCACAAGTTTTTGGAGGCCTGGCTGAATACAAAATGCCGGCATATTACCTTCGCCTCCCCCCACACACCAGTTCTAACCAGCAAAAACTTACCGTTAAGTACCATCTGGTGGCAGGAGAGCGACAAGAATCTTCCCACACTAATCTTAGGTGCACTGCGTGCCGGGATTCCCGACACCCCAGAGTTGTACTACAGCCTACAGGAGGCGTTCGATGTGGCGAATGAAATGAAGAGTATGAGATCTCGCATGGAAGACTTGGATGGTGCCGTAGCTGCCGCGGAAGCTACTGAGATTATTGACCGGTTTTCTCTCACGACAGAAGGCTGTCCCTTAGGCCCGTGTGTCGTGGTGATTCAAAATGATCAGAATACCTTCGGCATCAGCAAGATGCTGTACGAGAATCCTAATTTCGCCAATGTCGTCCAATTCCAAGTTTCGCCGGACATGACATTAGGAGATTGGCTAGAAGCGATTATATATCCCGGCCCCAAGGTAGTCTACATCGAACCCGGCGTCCCCGTCGTATTATACCTCCCAAGGGTTACGGCCATACTGTCCCTCTCTACTTGTTATAGTAAGACATTTGACCCTGAGACCTGTGCGCTCATCTGGACGAACACGCCCAAATCACGTATGGAGCTTCTCAAAGAGCAGTCATATGCGAGAAAGACCTGCGCCCCCCGGATCCCCACACCCGTGAAGTTTTACTGTGTCGACAAGGATGACGGCCGCTTTTCGAGTGCCAACTTCGACGAATGGACTCTAGCCCCCCTAGCCCCCGCATACGAAGACCAGTTCATGCGCTTATGCTTCGAGGTCTGCGTCCCGTGGCCGGACGATAAAGACCCTCTAGTTCCGCTCCCTGCGGTGTCCAGCATCGAGCACATGGGAAGCGTATGGAAAAGCCTCATCAACATGGGTTGCTTGAGCCACTTTCCGAGTGGGAGTAATCGGCCCGTGCTTAATGGGCCTCGAGCAAAGCGGACTTTGGACTTTTTAGATTCCAAGTACAACGATTTCGGGACCGTCCCTTTGGCTTTCCTACTGGCAGGCATCCATGATGCCGAATCTGACGCGACGAAGCGGGTGATAATTAGGATCGCCTCAATTATAAGCGAAGACACAGGCGCCGTGTACTTTTCGGAGCTGCTCGAGGGCAAACGTAAGGAGATCGAGCTATCAACCAACTCTCGGGTAGCACGTAAAGACGCTATCATGGATATTCACGAGATCATGGCTTGGGAATGCGTAGGAATAGGAAAGCAGGAGCTCGATCGCGGTGCCATGTGGATGATACTCGGATTGTTCCTCAGGGCGGAAGTATCCCAAGTCAAAGGCAAAGACTTGGGGGCGGAAGAAAAAGGTTGCGACGCGGGTATCGATCTCGAAGCGTTCCCTATCATCCTCGAAAAGGTCCGCGAGCTAGAATCCATACACGGCATCGAGCTGTCCGAAGATCCCATCCGAGACACGACACTGAGCCCAGACGAAGTGAGTTACGTTTCAAATGACCTGATGAAGGCCTGGTCGTCCCAGATTGTCTACTTCAAACGCAAGTCAGGGATGGCCTGTCACGATCTTACGTCATTCAGAGAGGTACAACTAGGCGGATTCCCCTATATGAATGCATACGAGTTGTTCGATAGAGATACCTCTCCAGACAACGATATGGTTTTTGCATTCTACACGGACCAGATCATCTCAGATGGTTATGGCTGGGTATTTAACCTAACCCGAGTCCCTACTCGATCGCTTGTTGAATGGGTAAGGAAGGACATCGCTCCCTTATAGTCTATTGAGTAGCTTAGCCTTACAGAACGAAAAAGTTGCCCTTGCCGAAGGAAATTATACGGGAGCAAACTAAAAAGGCAATTTGATGCATTAAAGTTGCCAACTACGAGATCGAGATACGCTTAGGTACTGAATAGCAATGTCTTTGTACTATATAGACCGCGGGGATGACTGTATAGGTGAAAGTCGTAGAACTGAACGGTAGCCAACCTTTTTCTTGATTTTCCCCTTTACAACTCATAAATCCAAACCGCATCTCCAAGTAAAAGCCAATCATGGAAAGTGCTTAAGTTCGATGGTAATCTAGCAAATATGTGTATATAATGGCCGGAAGCCCTGCGGTTTGTAACGCAATACCCAATACAGTCCCTATTTCACTTGCGTTACTCACTCATTTGTTACGCTGTATGGTGTATTACTTGGTGTTATGATTTCGTATAATTTAAGTACCTAGGATGTAATAAAGCTAACTCTTAATATTCCCAGTTTAATATTATTACTTAGCATGGCGAGAAATATAAACATGGAATTTTATACTTCGAGATTTATATAATAGATCCAGTGAAGTATTTATTGCAAGCCACCTCGCCCCTCGAAAAAAGGATAATGATATATTATTTAAGTGAAATAAAGTTTTGACTTTTTATACGAGAGTTGTGATAGAGGGCTAACAATTACAACGCCGTGGAAACTATAAATTGGGCAGGTGCCTAAAGCTACATTGATACCATCCACCAGGTACATGCAAGGTACCTGCTTTTGTAGTGTCTAGTATCTCGTGAAGCGTGCTGTCGCCGCGTAGCGCATGCCCCTCACACACAAAATTTGCCCTTAAAATTTTATTTTAAATTCCATCTCTTCTACTTAAAACATTTCTCCTTCGCACTTCAATTTACACCTCACATCACCATCATCAAAGTTTACCACGCACATATAGCAGGATACAAACTTTATTGAAATGACTGGAAGAGCTAACAAACCAGGCGAAGGCCGCAGCAGCCAACCGCATAACCCAACCAGTACCCATCGACTAAATCCGGCCAATCGAGGCCGTCGATCACCAAGTCCGATCGAAGCAGCATCGCAGCGCCCCCGTAAGCGCGTCCGTTTCGTCGACATAGAGAGCTTGTCGAGTGAAGAATTAGAATCTTCCTCCCACTCCCATCGACCGCGACACAAGAGGCCTCGCTCACAGTCGAGATCTCATCATCATTCTCCAGCAAACATGGCATCGAGACCCGGACAATTCCGCGTGAGCTCTGCCAGCGACCGAATCCCATCAAGAACACAGCCGTTGAAGAGTATCCTTCGTACAGGAGGGCCGGCTACCCAACGTCCCGCCGTATCACAGCCGTCTGAGAATAACCTATTTACAGGAGCTCCGGCTAACCCATACCCCTTCGAACACATACTTTCAAGTGAATCGCTGCCTTCGCATGCTAACTTAGACAGTGGTACCAGAGAGCCTGTAAACATCATAAATACAAGAAGCAGGGTATCTCCAATTACTGATGTGCCCCAAGAGCCAATCCAGAGAAGCCTGAGATGGACAAGCGAGGATTCAGAAGAAGACCATGTGTCGCAAGAAATACCTCAGCATCCAATCCAACCTAGTGGAGTTATATGTGCTAATTGTAATAAATCAGGTCATACCGTACGAGATTGCGTAACGAATTGGTCTCCCGCAGGTGATATACCCGGATGCTACCGATGCAATGATATATCGCATACGATTGATAGCTGTCTAGTTCAGCCACGATATAACGACGCCACAAGGTATCAGATCGAGGTGGTTAATCGTGCAGGCCGTCCGCCTTTACGGTCAATACGTGGATGGAACCAACTAGCTGTGGCAATGAACCATCAAGGACCTGGTCCAATCGGTAAGCAGTTTATGACAAAGCTGCTTTCGACACACTTTGATCGATGGAATTATGAGCTGTCGGGTATCCAGCAATTCGACCTACTGGTCAATGACTCTGCTTCCAGTGGCCTAGAACAAATTAAGATCCTTCCAAATCAGGGTTATCTTAGTGGACCAGAGAATATAACAGTAACAGCACGGTGTGGAAAGTTCTGCTCACTCGTCATCGTAATCCGATTGCCATCGGGGCCCCGAGTAGTAGATAATACTATTCCGCAAAGGCCGGACCCGACGCAGAGTGGAACAGGAATAACCCTTGAAGACGGCACCCCGATAGAAGAAGCAACTAAATTAGCTGCGAATATTCTAGTGTACCGGATGACAGCCATGCAGTTCTTAACAGGTTACTATAAATGCATGATAGATATGGTTTGTGCACTAACAGGAAAATCTGATCTGATCACAACTATATGGCAGTCCAGAAATCCCGGCGATCGCGAACCACATAATTTCAGCTATCATCCCATAGACATTGTGTGTGCGAATTGTCGCAGACATGGCCACGCCCTACAAGGCTGTGTAACGGTTTGGGATCCTTCAGGCGATATTCCAGGCTGTTACCTATGCAACGTCCTGACCCATACCATTGACAACTGCCCAAAAGGGTCGCAGCTGAATAATGCCACACGATATCAGCTGGAGGTTGTGAGCCGTATCGGCCGACCCCCTTTACGTTCAACTCAAGGATGGAATCGACTCGCCGTCGTGATGAATCATCAGGGACCCGGCCCCATCAGCAGAAAGAGGATGGCAACTCTTGATCGCAATCATTTTCACCGGTGGAACTATGATCTCTCGCCAATAAACCAGCGAAGCCTGCTGGTAGAAGATCCCACGACACACAACTCAAGCTACATCAGAGACCTTCCCGACCAGGGCTACTTTGAAACAAGACCCCACGAGTCCTGATGTCGATTCCTAGATTAGGATAGAGTGCTACGTCGGCCAAGAGATTGTCACAGAATTAATAAAAAATCAAGTTCTCTCCGTTGAAAAATGACTTGTTGACCCCGACGTTTCGTATCCCTTAAACTAGTTCATTCAGGTACTGCTAATACAAATGTCCCTACAATTATCCCGTGCTCATTTTAGTCTTTTAGTAATATCACATCTAAGTTCTCAAAGCTGTTTCTAAAATTGTAGTTTATAATGCCAGTAGGGGGTTTTGCTTATGATCTTAATCATCCTCTTAGATATCATCTTCGCAAAGCCCGAAAGGAACAAATATTGGCTTACTGAATGAAAAGTGCTACATAAGGTTAATGTAATGGTCCCATAGTGCGGGGGCGCACGGTGCTGAACATCCAGCTCAAACAGAGAGATACGTGAGTCAATTGTCCTGCAAAATTTATGTCAGCTGGAAGATGAGTTGGACTTCTTCTCTATTCTCACAATATAAACCCAACCTTCGTTCCCTCTAATCATCTTTTATTTTCCTTTATTTCACTACCCCTAAGAATTCTCTTCTACAACCCACCGTCTGGAATTGTTTACTCTCATGGTCTTCAACTGCCGGGTCTAACCACCTCACCAACCATGGACAGACAAGGTCTAATCACAAGGGTATTGGCCCCATACGACCAAGACTATCCGGCCAATGTGTATGGCACGCGTTCTCATTCCCAACGTACCGCTCGACGAAGCGACGGCATTTATCGGAGTGACCTTTCGGACGCTTCTGTCTTCAGGACGAATCTATATCGCGGGGACGACCTCTACAACTTATTGAACAGAGACATGAAACCTTGCTGCATTAGATGTGTCCGAATGCGGTTTGAAGTCTGCAAGGATATCCTTGCGCAAAACCCATACACATTGGATGATTTGCTTGTCCTCCTCGATGATGTTGTGGAAGAGTTGCAAGAAATGCGATGCGTCTTTTATGAAGACGATCCTCACACCTACAATCTCATCGCTACTCGGATGCTATACTATAGAAACTGTAAGTTTCATCACATCTCACTATGCTTTTCATCCTTTAGCTAACAATGTTCTTAGGCAACACATATCCTATTGCGGGTAGATTTGCGGAGCTATACCCGGGCGGCGGAATCTCGCAAGTGTGGTCAGATGCCGCGGGATGCGAAGACGAGACTTCCGGTCGACTGCATACTCAGCTCTATAAGCGGCAGCAGGCCGATCATCCAATTCGGCTATTCGCCCCTAGCCAATCATCACCATCCAGCTCCGAGGGTATCCTCATACCATCAACTCTGACACGACGAAAGACCGTATGGGATAACATTCGAGGAAGAGATACCGCGACATTCCCAGGCTGCGAGCCCTTCGTCATCCGGCTACCAGCTAAGGATTTCCACTGGGATCGATGTTACGGCACACAGAAGGAGCTTACACGGGCGGTACAGAAACGGTTCGGTTTGATTGAACCCGTCATACGCTTATCCCCAGAAGCTCCCAAGGGAAAAGAGATCGTGCTCGGGATGCGCCACGCGGGAGATTGGGACGAACCAGAAGCTCATCTTCTTCTCAACGATCTATTTGACACTATGGTATCCTACAGTCTCACCTTGCTCAGTGACAACTGCACCTTCAGCTTTGTCGAGTACCAGAGATGGCGATGCATTGAGCTATTACGTGGTGGCAGCCGCAGGGACAGGTATTGAGACATCTTCGCCGGTGTTAAGAAGGGCGAATGAAAGCCGCCTTGGAAATCAAGGGTTGTATTATATTTTGCTTTTATTTTTCTTCAGCTGAAGATAGATTGGTCAATAAACAAAATCACCAAAAGTCCTGGATTATTGTGAGACATGTATGTAGTCCGTCTAGTCACGTGTGGAGGCACGTGACTGTCTGTCTAGGTGCATGTCAGCTCAATTATTTGCATATCCTTGTACAACGATTACCTATGTATGTATAGAGGTAATGTGAGATGTACCAAGGTACATCTCAACACGTCACGTGTCATTCAGACATTCAGAATCATCTTGAGTGTTTGTAAAAAAAATAATAATGGTTTAGTTTAGTCAATCAATGAATGATCAATTATCCAACAGGTAATGAGCTTTGTAGTCATCTTTGTATCTCGCACTCTCCGAACTCAGATACAGGTGTTGACCGGCGAGAGGCAGATGCTGCAAACTACCTTGACGCAAGAACGAGCAAATCTTCACAAGTCACAAGGTGAGATAAGTATAAGCACAATACGGTAAAGTACAGTAGCAATTCAAGGACTTATAGCGGCACTCTTCGGAGTTACCTAACAAGAACAAGGCATTGACCAGTAAGTGTGACCACAAACTAATAGTATCGACGGGCTTGCGATCGAGGGCTTGCGGATCGCCGCCTGGTTTGTTGGTCCCGACAACCCTGGAGAGGTGATCGAGAGCGATAGCGTTGGGGTTGACTATGCCCGGAGAGCACAGTGCCACTACGTCGCTCCTTATGGCGTCGGCGCCCTCGTCCACGAGATCCGCGGGGTCTTTTCGGGACATCCCCTGGCTGCGGATCAACTGCTCCAGACTTGTAGCCATCTTCCTTGGCAGCAGGGGCAGACTGGTCTAATATACCATGACTGCTACTGCGCTCGGCTGGTACCATCTCCCCGAGGGACGGTCGTAGCGGCGATTCAATACATCGCTTCCCGAATAACCTTTCACGACTTTGCGGCCCGAAAAGACTATGCTGTCCAACTGGAAAGAAAAGATATCCTGGATGAAAGCCCCTAAGGCCTGTCGTATTCGATTGTGCAGTACCTTGAGTCGCCGTTCTTGTCGCGGCTGCGGGCTGGCTTGGCACCGGCCGAGATGGTTTCGTACTCTTGATAAGTCCATCACGTCCACGGGCAGTACGAGGGCGTTGCTCTACGGTCCTACTTCTAGAGGTCTCCGAGAGGGCGTTAGATGAGCTCGCGGGTTTCACGTTAGACGAACTCATAGGTCTTACGTGCACGCGCGCAGTAGGAACTGGAAGCGGAAGTTGCGGATTGGGAGCAGGCTGTCGAGCCGGACCAAATTCGCGCTGCCGTTCATGAGATCTGACAGGCGGTTGGCGAAAACCACCTCGGGATGCATATTCCGAGCTCACCGGCTGCCTCGATGGTCGTTCGCGAATCGGGTACCTTCGTGCAAAATCATTTGCTTCGGGGACTGTCGTAGATGTCTGATTAGCGAGAAACAACGTAACGTAAACAGGATGTAAATAACTTACAATGACCTTCGTACATATACGCATTGATTTCGCGGTTTACGACGTGATTATCAAACGTGCCGTTTTCGTACCGCTCTGACTCTTCGTCGAATATGTCCAAGAGCATTCTATACTCGTATTCATACTCGGCTATGACGTCGTTGAATACGCCTACACGCTCGACGATGCATTCTTCGCAGCAGGGAAGAATTCGCGACCTGATGTGATGGGAAATCTGGTGCGGGTTATTTTGATAATATCCATCCGTTCCATCTTCGTCGTAGTCAGACAAATCGTCAGAGTTATACTCGGAGTAATCGTCAGGATTATCCTCGGAGTAATCGTCAGGATTATACTCGGAGTAATCTTCCATCGCGAGGGCGGAAGAGTTGGGCATATAGTGCCGAGCGGTATGTTCGCTTCGCTGCGAGGGCTGCCGGCCGAAGCTTCTTGTCGGGGCGTCGGTTTCGTTGTGTGAGTTGTCTCGGGGTGGTGCCCCTCTCGGCGGGCGTGGCCGATTCATTGTCTCTTATGAAGTCTGATGATGTGGTATTGGAAGAAGATGTTGATGAAAGGCGAAAAGTTGGAGAAGGGGAAGAGCAAGTTGAGAGATGTGAAGACTGCGCAACTTCTTTTGTACCTAGGTGGGGAGGGGTCACTTGGGCGGTCAGTTAGGCAACCTCAGGTAGATCTATTTATCTAGGTGCTTAGGAAATTTATCTAGGTGCTTAGGAAACGGAAATATTGGCCTTCAGGCTGTTACGAGTTGGAAAGTGATCCACGTCACCTGGCAACCGGACTGATTAGGGCCACGATTTACGCTATCTGAGCAGATCCTGAAAGGCCACAAGACATGAGAATCAACAACGCACCTTCCAATAATTGACCAGAATATCATTAGCCTAGCATGGTGGTATCAATGTATGATGTATCTCCCTACTCTAGTTGCCGTCGGCAACGTACTTCTGTACCTACGCGCTAGTATCCCGCACTCGTGCCCTGCCATCTCGTATCTAAAACAAAGGACATGTTTAATATGTATAGGCGTAGACTCTCCACAAGCTCATGGGTAACCTGAAGAAGTTGTCTTCACCTGGAAACCTCCTCAGCGCGTCTTTGAAGACTTCTAGTTCCTGTTCAAATTCGCAGTTATTTAGCCTGAATTAATTCCTCCCACTGCTTTCTGTCTTCACCTAGAAACCTCAGAATGCCTTTGAAGATCTCCAGTTTTTGTTCGAGGTTGTACAATTGGCCTGGAAACCTCTGAGCGTGTCTTTGAAGATTTCTAGTTCTGGTTTGAGTCGACCGCGTTCCTTATGATCTCCCATTGCCTGGCTCCTAGCGGCAACAGCTTCCTCGATGAGACATCTAAGGCATGGTCAGTATACAGCGCAGGCTTCCGTAGTTAGGTTACTTCTTACCGCTTGGTTGTATCTTATGACTTCCATAAGCTTATGAGTAACCTTGAGAAGCTGTTCGTTCCGTTCTCGAAGCTCTTTGATATTTTTAAAGACGATTAGACGTTCGAGGATCGAAGTATGAGCGTTGAACTCCTCGTCTCCTATCTGTTCATGTAGCTGACCCCTCTCCAGTCTTTCGAGTATCAAACTCGCGTCCAAAGTAAGCTGGCGCAGCGCACCTGGAACGCTATTATTTCCCCCAGCCGAAGGCAGAGACTAAAAAGTATCTTCCGTAGCTTATCAGGAAGTAAGAACGTTATGGCAGTACAAATAATGTGAGTGCCTAATCGCAAACGTGGGATAGATCCGACCACCGGATGTGATGCTTAGAATAGAGTTGAAATTGTTGTTAAGTTGATTATTAGGATTACGATCTAGCTCAACGAGTTCCACGAGTTAGATAATCTAATTAACTTAACTTAGGCCTAGCCTGACTTAGCTTCGGTAGATATTCTTTTTGGGATATCTATTCGAATCCAGGGCAAATGTTTTTATTTGGCACTTTATATAATACATATTTGGGGCAATATTATTGGTTGTTGGTGTGTGGCTAGGTGTGGATTTATAAGGGCATACAGGCCAAGTCAACGATAGCGTACAAAATCCTCAAGTGGTATTTCCTACCCAGCAGCAGCCTGATTTATTCAACCCCTTTGCCCATCAAAACTACGAAGGTACTACCCAGTCCAGTATAACATCGCAAAACTCAAACACGACGGACCCTAAGAGATTTTAGCCAAAACCTCTTGAAACACGCAGCCTTGCCGATACCAATAACTACACTAATACCTACCTAAACAACATCAACTTACAATAACTAAGGATGGAAGCATCCGCCATCCAAGATCAAAACCGAAGGGAAAGAGAGAAAGGCCGCGTAAATGGCTGTGTTCATCACTAGGAAGATAAGCTGGTTCTTGACCAAGACTACGTGCTTCAGAGGCACCCAAATGACAACCGGCCAGAGAATGTGCACAGAGCTATTTATTTGATTCAATAGATTTTGTATTCTTTCTCTTTTTCTTTTGATTTGATTAGTTAGCCCTGTCAAGTAACCCGAAATTTCTGATTTCCCTGTAATTACTAGTGTCACGATCTCCTTACTACAAGTCTATACAAGTACCTAGATCTTACAGACCTTAGAGAATCCCTTAGATACTTCCTAATACAACAATGATTCATGATAGACAGCCATTACACCACACCAGGGGTACTTAGATTAGCACTATCTAAGAGAACTTTATGGACACGAAACATTGGGGCTGTCTACAGCGGAGGAAGCTTTATTTATATCGTCAACTAGGACTAAAGCTGACTACTACCTGAAAGATGACTACCTCTGTCAACTATGTACTTTGACTTTCCATATCTTCCGTATCTACCCGATCAGACTTATATTGGGATCACTATCGCTTGACTCGGATCCCGCTTTTCACGCCTAATCCGAACCCGACCTCGTTTGTCGCGGGGTAGGTCATCGTAACCCTGGTTTGGAAGGTTCTTAATCTGCTCCAGGCTGACGGTAGCAGGATCCTTAATCAGCAAGTCCCACTGCTGCATTAATGACAGGCCGTAATCCCAAGTATTGAAGTGCGTCAAATATAGACCTTTCATATACTCCTTACTAATCGGACCAGGTCCCCGATAGTTCATTGCCACGGCTAGTTGGTTCCATCCACGTGTTGATCTTAAAGGCGGTCGGCCCGAACGATCGATAACCTCGATCTGATACTTCATGGCGTCGTCATACGGCGGCTGAACTGGGCAGCTATCAATTGTGTGTGATATATCGTTGCAGCGGTAGCAACCCGGGATATCTCCTGCGAGTGTCCAATGCGTTACGCAGTCTCTTAGGGTGTGGCCCTCTATGCCGCAGTTTGCGCACACTAGAACTCGGGGCTGGAGCTGGGGCGGGGGGTGTTGCACTTCGGCGGGGAGCTCCTCTGGCTCTGCGGGAGGCTGCTGCGGCCTGGCGTTGTGTTCTCGAGGTACTCGTCGTTGTACTTGTGGCTGGAAGTCGGACTGCACACTATGTGGGGCGGCTCCCTGGCGAGATATATTGTGACGCATGTTGGCCTCTTGGCTCCTCGATGGGTTGGCCGAGCGGATGTGCTGGCGTCTGCGATCAATCTGGATGACCGGTATTACGGTATCTTCGGGTCGTACTAGCAATGGAGCTATAGTCGACATGCGATCCGTGATATTTATGAACCGCTCGGAGCCTGTTGTACTGGCTCTGATGGTATTGGTGTTCAGACTGATAGCCGAGTTCTGCACCGCGTCCATGTTCTCGTCCTTTATAGCCATGGTACCTCTACTATTGTGGGTCAGGTATCCCTCCGGTTCGAGATTCCAGTTCACGCTGGTAGTCCTAGCGGCAGCGTTAGCAGGTCTAGGGTTATCTCTTAGCCTAATTATCTGGTCTTCGCCATGCCTGCGAGGGGAGCGGGAACGATTACGAGCAGCAGGTGCGTTGTTTCCAGATCCGCCATCTCTTGGGCGTCTGTTGGCCCGTGAGACAAACCGGTGCTGGTTGTTTTCGGGATGCTCGTCCTCAGTGGCCCAGCGGCTCTGCACAAGAGCGGCGGCTGCTGCTGAAGTAAGTCGGGGCCAGTCGTTCATTTGGACGTCGCCATTGATGTCGTTATGATTTGCCGGAGCTAGCTCAGGATTGAGGGTGGACTCTAACGGCTGTGGTGCGGTATTGGCAGAGCTTGCGGAGGGTTCTCCGGGTCTCGATGCCGTGTCGTGTTGTAAGTTATTTGTATTGTTCATAGGTTTTGTATCCATCTTGAAAGTGTGCCCAGGTGTGGGAAGAAAATTTGATGATGAATGATGAAGAGAGGAAGGGTAGAAAAGATTTTTGGGAGGAAGGGCAGGATTCTTTTATATGTGCACAGGTAGGAGGGGAATTTCCAAGATCAGACTGCAGCCTAAGGTTACCAAGTACCTTTGGTTGCTAAAGTAATCACGATCGTAGAGGGGGTCAAAATCAGCCTGTACAAGCAGTTTGTACTCTTGTAATTACTGCTTCTTTTTTTTCTATTGGTAAATTCCAGCTACTGATTCGATTTCGATTATTCCAGTCTCCGTGCTTTCTTTCGTGCCTCTTTTTTTAAATGGTGACAGATTATTATAAATTATTCTATTCTACGCCACTCATTTTTGATGATTACGTTTTACTTCATCATCTTTCTGTTAAAGTACAAAAAGCTAAACATCCTTTTGATTCTGATCTATCATTAGATAGTTTAATATGCAATGATTGCTACCCGCATTAAATACCAAGGCCATTTTAGTGATGCCTTATAGGTTAGGTACCTGTTAACACGTAGTCCAGTCCCTTATTACCCGTGGCTGATCTTAGATCGTATGTGTTATTGTAATTCATTTCCGTCACATTTGACGAGAATGGGGTTAGTTAGTTGGTATACTAGTTAATTTTACACGCTATTAAATGTTAAGCGCCAATCCTTTCCAAGCTTCGGTAGCTGATTTATCATGCTCGAAGCTTAACCTCGAAAGCGCGCATTAATATGTAAACCGGTTCAATCTTATATGACATAAGCTAAAGTGCAAGACTTTATCAATATACCATGAGTTTACTTTACGACATATGCTGTAAGTTTTACATAAATCTACAAAAACTGTTAAAGTTGGATTGATATCAAGCATTGGTGATAATTTATTCCATGATCTAGCTTGTTATATCGACATAACCGCGTCTACACCTACAAAGTCTCGGGAGAAAATCTCTTGTTTATATCAAATTCAAAATGATCTTAGAGATTATGTCAAAATATTTTGAAAATTTCAAAGGCTAGTATTACAACCGTAAAACCAGCCTGTAATAAATCTGACCACTGATCTTGTCTCTTGGTCTTGGCCGATTAAAGTTCAATTGAAGTTCAATTTGGCACGTGAACAGCCTAGCGGCAGTTGATCACGTGATTTCGACAACGCCCAAAGTTCCACTTGTTTTCAAAGTGCTAATGACGGTATTTGCACAGGGTCAGTTTTTAAAGTTGTGTCAGATTAGTCAGCCCCGTCAGGTGACCTGAAATCTCTATAATTACTCGCGTTCCACGCGTTCTCACGATCTCAACACATTCAATCAAATCATCAGTAATTCCATCAATATTGCCTCAATCATCGCCTTAATAATACGTATCAGCTGTGTGACAACTTCTTGCAAGGTACAGATAAGCTCATAGAAATTTACTAGCGCACTGTTCTCCTCAAGAAACTTTAAGCTTAATGAATTCATTTGTAAAGATGAATTATTCTTTTTTAAAAGGTCATGTACCTAAGATGCAAGCTACTTACAATTCCTATGTAGGGATTTTAAACCACACGAGAAAAGCAAAAGGCACGGCGAAATTTACAAGAATGAATGTTAGCAGCGAGACCATCCGGCTTCAATTATTTACTATGCATTTACTAAGAGAGGTGGTGGGAAAAGAAGAGAGAAAAAAGCAGCTATTGTAAAGAATAAGAGAGAAATTCAATCAAGGTAATTTATAAGAGCTACGAGGTAACGATCATAAATACGAGCGAAGATGGGTTTTAGGCCCGACTGTATTCCATTAAACTATCATTGCTACCTATCTACTGGGTTGTCAAGTGAATATTGACGCCGCAGAGCTCTTACATCGGAATAGTGGTTTCTCCTGTCGACTAGGAGGGAGAACGCTCTCTGGGCCGCTTCTTGCTCTTGGTGGCGGTCCGAGTCTGGGGCTGAGGTGTATACTCAGCTATCTTATCCCTATCAGTGGGGTTCTTGGCGGGTGAGTCGGAGCTGCTGTGCGAGACGGCAGATGACGCTGGATAGCCAGAGACGTGTCTAGAGCCACCGTCGGGTGAAACCTCGGATCTATGGGCGGCATGCTTGGGGCTTCGGTTAGATAAATCCACTGACCTGCACGAGGTATGAGCGGGATCATCACTAGAAGAATCTGTATCTCCTTCGGAAAGTTTGATAGGTTTTTCGGCTTCAGCCCTCAGTTCCGCTGCTCTGTGGAAGGTTCTTTCCGACAAGACCGAATAGTATCGCGCCTTAGAAAGCTTTTCTTCCGACGGATAGTCTTGACCCGGCTTTACCCGTTGGATGATTGCGGATGTGAGCTTAGTGCTTCGGAAAAGGGGGAAACCCCAAAAGCTCATATTATCGAGAGCGTTGAGGAGTATGGCCATGTCGATGGCGCGGATGAAATAAGGATCTTGGTCGTCCCGGCGCCTTGACTTGTAAACACGGGCCGCTCTGCCTTGGGGAATCTTTGACTCGACGGACTTGGTGATCTGGTCGAAGAACGTCTGATAGAACCCTTTCTGGGGGCCAAGCTCTCGCTTCACTTGCGAGTAGAGGTCTTCCATGGTCGCCTGACCGGGGTTTCTCGCGACGACGCTTATCCACGTCTTGAAGAACATGCTCTCCGGGTCGCAGTCGACCAGTTTCCAAGGCCGAGTGTCGTGAGTGCGTACTCGGTTTATATATTGGATGCACGTAGCTAGGAGCTCGAGGTTACCTAGCCAGATGTTCTGGGAGATAAGACATCTGAGGCCTTCCGAGAAGGGTTTGGACGGGAAAGGGTCGTTGATGCGTGTCCCATCGTCAATGGTTACCAACGGATTCTCGGAGCAGTCGAGCCTGAGTTGGTATTTCGGGCCCATGAACTGGTCGTAGGTGCAATCGTAATACCGGAGGAATAGACGGAAGACGGTTCCGAATGAGTCTCGTTCGGCGCGGCGTGGCTTCTTTGGGGGGACGCGACCTTCTACTGCTATATGTTCTACAGTGTGCTGTCCTAGAATAAGACGTTTGGCCGGGTCGGCTTCAAAGCTTCTAATTACAGCCTCGCTGTCCTCTTTAGTGAATGTGTTGTCGCAGCTTGCCATCGGAGCAAGGCTTCTGAAATGTTCCTTGGTCACGACGGGCTTTTCCGACAGCATCCACTCCCTACCTGCCACCATATGTTGAGAGATGCGACTGGATTCATCCTTATATACGCGGGCAATGGAGGCAAATCCAGATAGGCCCTGAGGATTTGTGGAACTACCCTCTTCAGAATCAGTAGGGCTTCTATGCCTTTTCCGACCGGTATTTCGGTGGGATCTAGAACTTGGGCGCGTCTTTGAGTCTCGGTGAGAATGCGAGCTTCTGTGAGACCCCGAGCCTTTGTTGGATTTTGATCTGCGTCGGGATTTTGAACTTTGCGGTCGATCGGACTCGGAGGAATAGAAGACAGGGGACTCATCAGACCTTGCCTCTTCACCCGACGAATCCGAGAGGGAGGGAATCATGTCTTGGTATTCTTCCTCTTGGGGTTCGTCGTCGTCGTTGCGCGAAGGAGCTGATGTCCTGATTCGCTTGCTAGGGTGGGATGATGCTGCTCTGATTTTACTTGATCGACGGTTTGACTTGGTCGGATCTTGGTGACGGGCGCTACTTGAACTTGATGGATGGCCTCTATGGCCTCCGCCTTTTGCTCTTCCTGTCATCCTAATAAAGGATTCGAAATTAGTATGTATGGTAATCGATGATAGTTGTGTGTGGTGGGTGTTGCGATGAGAAGGTTGATGTTGAAGGTGGGAGAAAGATAAATTTTTGAGAGGGATGGGGAATTTAATTCTTAAAGAAATTCGTGGGGCGGTGAACGCGACAGCACGGGTCACGAAAAGATGTTGCCTAGTGACGAACACCTGCCATTCATGCGGCCTTAGCTACCATATGCCCTATAATCCCTATGACGACGCCGCCATCAGTACGCGGGGGTCTGCAGCTACTACCATGCAGTACACCAAGCCTCCACTTAGGCTTAATAGGTAGCATAAGTACTTTGATACCTGAGGAGAAATACACCAACGGGTACAAGCTATGCAACTAACTCCTCGGTACATATAGAAGTTTACCTAAAATACGTGTGCAGCTAAGTAGAGGAGGGGCCGCCTGAAGCGAGGCTTGATCTAAGATATAGCTAGGATAGATTATCCTTGTTGCCATCATTTGTATACTGTAATTATCAGCCTCTTAGAGCTGGTTAATAGCTACCTAGGCATGTGAAGCATCCTCGATGCTTAGGTTTAAACAGCATACAAGAAAATGAATCGATTCACCGAAGCTTTGGAGAATCCGGGGTGGTCAATGTCCTGTGCAACAACCTGATATGCGGTTTATCTAATGTTCAGTTTCCTTGCGTGCAAGATCCTAAGATGACCAGTGCAGATTAGGTGAGTAGAATAACGGAGAGTTAAAATCCTAAGATTATCAATCGTCTACTGGATATTTCGTGATTGTAAGATCGTAGATAAGTAAACACTTTTAGTTTCGTGATACGTATATCACCCAAGGTTGCTTTAGCCTCATTCCGCAACCTTTAAGTGTCAGTAAACCTATCCGTTGGTCTACCCGGTCACTCGGATACCTTGTCAAAATATTCACACGCCTGCTGCATTTATAGCCTATATTTCAACTGTTCCTATTTTGTAGAAGTAACAATAGGAGTGGTTAATTAACTGGGCGAATAGGTTCTAAGTAGTCCCCAAGAGAGCGTATAAACAGGGGCTGCTTGTCAACATTGCAGCGCGAGTTGATAGCCTTGTAGTCACCCCTAACACATTCGCAAGCATGCACAAGGTAAAGATAAAATTAAACTATTCAAAGTTACAGCCGAAGGTTAATCGTAACTCTTGGCTTCTATTGTAAAAAGTAGCTGCTACGGTAAAGGTAGCCTTTGTGGCACGTATACCGCATGGCTATTAACTATCTTAACTGGTTCCATCTACACTAAAATTTCCGGAGCGTAGTAACTTTATAGTAGGGATTCTTAGACTTAGCGATATGTCTCTCGTGGGTTGCGATATTGGTGATACCCGGAACTCTGTCGACGCGGACTTTGGGATCGAGATCTTGCTCGCGAATCACGCACTCTCTGGTCCCCGTAACCCATTGGGCGATAACGCGGAGAGGGAGGACGAGATCTGGGTTGCCAGTCGCGCTCTTGCCGACCCCGGGATGGTAATTCTCGACGAGACACACCACTATGCATGTCCCTGGGAGAACGAGTGTTTATCGAAGGGCTCCAGTACTGTGAGCGGTTTCGAATCGGCGACTGTTCTCGAGGCCGAGATCGCTCTCGAGGCCTAGATTGATCTCCTGGTCTGGACGGCTCTCCAGGAACATTAGGTCCAGATTGACCATTTGCCCGCTTTCTTCGTCTACCCTTACCGCGAGAGGTTCGTTTCCTTTTCGGTGCTGGATTAGCCGATCGCGAGCCAATTTCACCAGGCTCGTAAGTATCTTCACGCCTGTCGCCGTGGTCCATATCAGTATTATGCTGAGCATCATCCAAGAAACTGACACTCGGGCGAGAAGCAGGCGGAGGCGGAGGCGGGGATTGTGGCTGTGGCGTTATGGTCAACTTGGAAAGCATTTGCCCATCGACCTGAATGTCCCGTTGGCTAAACGTCCCTTGATTCATATCATCTCTTTCACGAGGACTGTTAGCAGACGGAAAGACACGAAATTCCTCTCCCTCTTCTGTACCAGTCGCTGTATTCTCCACTGAGGCCGGTTTCGATGTAGGTCGAGGACCAGGCGCTATTTGCTGCACTGGGTTCGGGTTGACGGCAGGTGGAGAGCCACGCGCTGGCTGTCTCGTCGGAGGCGGCTCGGGTATAGATCGAGATTGAGAGTCGGGCGCTGCTTGCTGCACGGGTTGCTCTATAGTCGAACGAGGCCGTTCTAAAGTCGCTGTATCCTTCGGTTGCTTGTAAACGAATTCACGAAGAATCTTCAATTCCTTTTGGGCGAGTTCTGATAATGCCGCTTTGCATTCGGGCAGGTAGTTATCGTCAAATAGATTGTCGGGCGCATCAGACTTGTGATAGACTAGATAATACTTGCCTTGATCCTTACACGACCAGTCCTGGTCTTTGTTACTTCCGTACGGCGGCACGAAGTTTTTACCGTTATATTTATAAAGGTGAACTGCAACTGGCTGCTCGCCAGGTTGGGGGATTCTCGCGAGGCAGATCAGGCGATATGAGACTGAGACCTGGGAGAATTCGAGCTGTTCTCCCTCAATCCGGGGATTCTCGTGCCTTATGGTCAGTTTCCGTAGAATGTGGAACGGTGAGTCTCCGTGGTTGGGCGCAGACCAAAAGGTGCTGTCCCAGAGGACACGAATGAATTTCGGCGGTGTCATGGTGTAGAAGAGGCGATTGCTAGTTCCATAACGCCAAGCGAGCGCTAATTTATCCTGGATGGCCGCAACGAGCTTTCGGGGGTCTTCTATCCGTATGAGGCCGTCCCGAGCGATTTCGTCGGCCGGCAAATCGCATTCGAATACAAATTTGCCGCGTTTCTCGCACGCTGTTTCGCTATAGAGGAGATTAACGGTCTTTGACCAAAACGAGTTGATCATTTCCTTGCTCTCAAGGATGTCGAACAGGTCTGGCGCGTTACCATCACTTTGGGAGTGGGAAAACTTATGGCAAAAGCCAGCGATGGCATTTTCGATGATGCCTCTCAATTTCGCATCGGCGTTTTCGGCGTTAGGGAAATCGACCATAGAAAACTCTGTCAGGTTTAGCTCTAGATTAGTCCTGACGTTTAGCTCTGGATTAGTCCTGACGACGAGGAATCCGTCTTCTGCTAGTGACATCATCATCCATCTGAGGATGCCTACGGCGGAACAAAGGTTTTGCTCCGCTAAAGAGCGCGCAAAAACATCTGGCCAAAACGTCTTTAGCCGTCGTACTAGCTCCCCCCCCTTATACCTCGGGATGAGGATATCGAGTTCCATGGTGGTACGTTGCTCAAGTTGAAAATGGGATGGAAATTTAATTATGAGGAGGAAATTTCTTGTTAAAACTACGAGTTTGAAGTTTAGGTAGCTAGGTAGTGACGAGTATGCCAGGTGTTTAGCAGAAAGTGAAAAATGTCGAAATCATCCACTACCTAGGCAACGCTCTAATTACCCCGCGAGATAGCGTGTAGGCATGCCTTATTTGACAGCTGCAGCGCGAGATGATAGCCTTGCAGTTATCACTGATACGTTCGCCGACATGCGCAATGTTAAGATACAAGGAAGTTACCCCTATTACACCCAATGCCTGCTGCGCTAAAAGTAGCCTTTGTGGCACGTGTGCCGCGAAGTTGTGTCCAGCGGAAGTGAAATAATACCGAAAATAATCTACAGCTTCATATTTATATACACGCACCTTAAAGCCACATTTCTCAAGTCCCAAGCGTGCTAGTGTACGGTTTATGTGGATTAGAACGGAGTGATTACGAGCCTTGGGACAAACTCTGCCAAATTACATAGGGTCCAGGAGTTTAATAAAGTGTCGGGGTATAGCTTGTAGATAGCCGAAGGCAGATATATAATACTGGTAACTATATATGGCAGCCTCCGGGCAAGGGGTGTCATAAGGTGGAACCAAACAGTAGGAATGGATTTCGTTGTTCCGCGAGGAACTTTGACTAGTATCTGCGGGAGCTTGTGGCTACGCATACCGAGCATATATTTTGCCTTATATATCCTATTTAAAATCCTGACAACGAGGCCAAGTAATGCCCGACTTTTAGGAGGGTTATTGTGCCAGGCCAAGTTAAGGATATTTCCTAATTAGGCAACTTGTCTGTGCACCCACTAGTGCCTTTTAATTGTGGGTCTCAAGTATTGTAATAGGGTAAAATATGGGGCTAAGGTTTTAGCTGCATGACTAGTGTTAAGCTAGTTTCAATTTTGGAAATTTTAAGTGGTACGTACCTTTGATAAGAGATAAGACCTTTGATAAGCCGATAAGAGGATAAGGGTGGCCTGTGCACAAGGTTTAGGCTAAAAATTTAACCAATCACATTAGGTGGCCATATGCCAATACAAGGCCACATACAGGTCACATGTTCTTAAGTGCAAAACTAAACCCTTTCGGGACAACGCCATATAACTTCTACAGGAAGCCGGGTTCGAATCCCACACGTTCCTTTTTTTTCTTATTTAAACAAAAAATAGACGACAATATAATACATAGCCAGAGGCATAGCCAGAGCATCGTGCCACCGCCGGGCCGCGCGAGGGAAGGCGCGGTCTGGCGTGGTGGCACGTGACCCTGTGGGATGAGAGGCTAAATTTCGGAAAAACGATATGAGGGGATGGGGGATGACATAAGGGGATGACATAAGCCTTGCTAAAAGTCGGGCTCTTGTGGTCCCCACAGGGGGGGCCCTCGGTTTATGCGAATGTAGGGGTGACATGAAGTGGGTAGTCGGAGGACAGTGGGGCCGCATACCGAAGTTACACTACGGTATTCATTAGCACCGAGACCCACTTATGCGGCGCGATATACGGAGTAGAAGGAACTTTGCTAAGAGATTGCCAGAGGCCTCATGAGATGTATTTCAGATCCGGCGGATAGCCCACCCCCTATAAAATAATCTTATCAAATCCAAAATCCAGTGTATACACGTAACTGAGGCATTCGGCACCTACTGTATAAGAATTAAGGCAGACGGTTCAGCCATTGAGATGTTTATTTTCTGCCTTCCTTGCACAGCCACACACCTAATGCGCTGTATGCATCGCCTCCAGACTACGTGATGATACGACTAGTCGACGTACTGGAATTGCTATTCGTCTGATGCGTGAGTATCATGTGATTTGAAAGGCTTCGGGCCATAAATTAAAATATGCCGAAGCTGGTAGTTATTCTTTCTTCCTAGTAGATCTTCTTTAGCATCTTTTCTACTTTTCTGTTTATAGATTCCTCGCCTTCGGTTATATTATTCAACAAAATGGTTGAAGCTATCGCGACTTTTGGTCTAGCAGTCAATATTATGCAAGTTGTCGGCGTCGGTGCTAAATTCATTGATCTCGCTTGGAAGATATGGCGCTCCGAGAAGGAGATCGTCGACGAATTTACCACGTCGCGGTCTATTTCACAAGATCTCAAGGTGGCCCTACAGCATATACCCATAACCACATCGTCGCCCCGAGACCCGGTTGAAGATGAAATCAACAGCAGAATACTCGCGCTAACCAAAAAATGTGGGACAGTCGCTCAGCAGATAATCAACTCGTTGGATAACATTGGAATCTTAGACGGTTCCCATAGGGGAATGTGAAAGAAGCGAAAGGCCTTCATAACCGCTTTTAAGATCGTTTGGGGTAATGAAAAGATCATAGCCCTGCAAACGCAACTAGATCGATACAAAGACCAAATAATATTGGAATTGAATCTTTCTCTTAGGTTAGATCTAGATTTATTGAAACATAAGCACTGTTCTAATATACTGTTCTAATATACTGTTCAAGATTCTACGCCACAAAGTCACTGCACAACCAAGAACTAATATTGCAGCTTTTAGAGTCTTAAAGTAATAACGATCAGCCAAGGGACAGTAGAAATTCTATGGTAATAGGCCTTCACGAGGGCTTGGGGTCGGCATTATCCGAGTATCTCAAACATGCAGTTGATGCGCTCGACTCCGATAAAACAGGGAGAATATTTCGTAATGAGCTACTTAGCGCCGTCTACGTTTCTGCCAGGCCCTCTGGCAACGATGCCTCTGCCTTCGAACTTACGGAAACCCGAAAATCAGCCCTCCAACACAAGTTCATTTCAAGTCTGCACTCCGACGGCATACACGATCGTGAACTCGGAATCACGGAGGCTCACCAAGAAACGTTCCGCTGGATCTTTGACCTGGAAGATGATCAACGTTGCCCTTGGGCCAAATTTCACCGCTGGCTCCAGTCAGACCAGCAATTATACTGGATCACAGGGAAAGCAGGGGCCGGCAAGTCAGCACTAATGAAATACATCACCCAGCCCATCTCACCTCGAGAAGCAGGTCATTCGCACGACGGAGAGTCCCGGTGCACAGAATATTTACTTTAGTGGGCCGGAGAAAAGCCAGTGATAGTGGCCTCATTCTACTTCTGGGCGGCCGGCTTCAAAATGCAAACGTCAAAAGAAGGTCTCTACCGCACCTTATTAAGTCAGATCTTCCAGAGTTGCCCCGAGGCCATACCTTACGCCTCACCGGAGAGGTGGGAAGCCCTGTGCCTTTATAACAAGGATCCGAGGCCATTCGACGAAATCGAACTGCGAAATATTTTGGATAGCGTGATTAAATTCGCCAGTTCTACCAAGAGTCTGTGCTTATTCATCGACGGGCTTGACGAATTCAACGGCACCCACGGCGACTTGATTGAATTCGTCAATCATATAATAGAGACGCTACCAATAGGGGTATGTGTAGCAAGTCGTCCTTGGGTGGTTTTTGAAGCCGCTCTCGAGGGCAAACCAAGTCTCATGATTGAAGACCTCACGTTCAACGATATTAGACGTTATGTTACGTCTAGGTTTAAATCCGACGCTGAATTCGTGTCGCTTCAAAACCGCGAGGTTGAGCTTTCTCGAAATCTCATCGAGGACGTTGTCCGTAAGGCTTCGGGAGTTTTTCTTTGGGTCAGCATTGTTGTGTCGTCTCTTCTGGAGGGGATTAAATACGGAGATCGAGTTTCTGACCTACAACGACGGCTTTCTCAACTGCCTCCCGACTTAGAGTCGCTGTATGATAGGATCCTTCATGACCTCGATCCTTTCTATCTCGAGCACGCAGCCCAGTATTTTCGCCTAATGGCTGCCTGCGAGCATCCGCCTGAAGCATTGTTATTATCATTTGCTGACGAGGAAGAACTTGACTTTGCTGTTAAGCTTCCTAACGCCCTTTTAACCCCCAGGAGATTGCCATTCGGGTTGACACCATAAGAAAGCGACTAAATTCCTGTTGTAAAGGATTTCTCAATGTTCCAAAATTAGATCAAAGGCTGTCGGATTGAGCTTTGCACTGTTACAGCCCAGTACCATAGAATCGTCAAGGACTATATCGAACAACCCAATATACAAGCGAAGCTTTTAGGAATGATGAAAAATCCATTCGACCCGTATCTCAAATTGTGCTCCGCGTCCTTATCTATGCATAAAACTGTCGAGCATACGAAATTTACAACCCCCCTTATACAATGCTTACGATTCGCATCGAAGATTAGGGAAGAAAATACGGGAAGCATGATGAAGATACTAGACGAGTTAGAAAATACTACGACGACTAGACACATATCACTATCCTGGGTGTCAGCTAAAGGGATGCGCTATTCTTACGAGCGTTTCGGCCATACTTTTATTTCCCTTGCAGTAAAATGTCAGGTAATAGAATACGTACAAAGAAAGGTACGGAAACCTTGCCTAGTACAGGAACATTTCACCATCGAAACACATGATCCTCCTACTATCGGCAAACGGTCTTCATGGAACCCTCTCAGATTTTTGCAACGCCACCGGAGCATTACAAAATCTGATGCAAAATTATCGCCCCTCTTATTAGATGCAATCCCTCCTCCTTCTACGGATATGGGAATCGTTGCCGCCCTACTGGGGAACGGTGCTGACCCTAACTTTGTCGCTAAGGATGAGAGCCCTAGTATATGGGTATGGACCTTGACATTTGCGTTGAATGCTTATCAAAATGAAGCCGACAAGTTAGATATGTGGATGAATGTTCTTAGACTGATGGTCACGAATGGAGCTAGCACGAAGAAGAATGTTATCGAAAAGGCTTTGGACGCAGCTATGATCAGGACATCTAATCTCAAAACTTTGGGCAGAGACTTCGCCAGAAAAAGTATTCAGGGCACACTGCAGTCAATGATGAATCACAGCGGACCTCTTGAGGAAAGATTCAGGTTCGACGGAAGAATTTGGGGGAATTCTTAAAGTTAATGGGTCACTTCATAGACCTTAATGGATGAATGGTGATCTACCCACTAAACGAGAGAAAAACGTACATTGAATGGGTCAAGGTAAATGAATTTCAAACCAATCCTCTGCTTAGGTAGCTACTTCAAAGTACTTGAAGCCCAGAAACTATACGGATATTGTCACAGGATAACAAGGCAATTCAAACGTCAATCCGACTAATTTAAACGTTCCTTTCCAAAAGCAAAGTCCACAAAACTCGCCATGTGTACTTTCAAGCCGCTCTCGAACTGAGCAAGCTTAACCTGGAACTCCTCCGGGGTACCACTGAGGAGCTCTTCCGACGGACGTGGGGACTCGTAGCGGTCGAAACGTTCCTGGACAAACTTTGCAAAATGCAAGCGGCCCGCTCGCTCGTGTGCGGCTTTTAGACGCTTCGTATCGGTATCGTTAAGAGCCAGTTTGGAGTCGAAGACGTCGAGGTCGCTGGTTTCGTGCTCGGTGTACGCGAATGGTCCGCGGACGAGGCTCTTCACCCTCTTCTTGAAGTAACTGTCCAGCGGGACGAGGATGTCCCGGAAGCCGAATTGGCATCCCGTTATATCCACGACCCATCCCTCGCCGCTTGCCCAGACGAGCAGGATGGTGTGCGTCACGGCGGTACAGGCGACGGTTCGCGATTCGTCCTTAGAACCGTTCAACCATACGACTTTCCACGGAACGACTGGCTCGGCATGTACTTCGACAACCTTGAATATTGATTTGATTCCTATCTTATCGTGAGCATTTCTTCTCGTGGCCTCATGCGCAGGGTTGGGTTATCTTACCTCCGAGAAGATAGCGAGCCAAGGGGCCGAGAAGGCATTGGGCAGTTGTGCATTGGTTGGTTGCTAGAACTGCTTCTTTATGCTGAGGACTAATGCTCAGGTCGCTTGGAAAGGGTATCTGCCAGGGACGGTATGGGATCTTCCTTGGATCCATCAGTAAGCGGAGGATACCTTCCTCATACTTGACCCCGGTCAGAGGCATGTCATATACGCATTCACGATAAGCGAACAAGGCGGTCTTTAGCAGTTCCGCAATCCTTAGAAGCGTTTTTCGCTTCATCAATATGCGACACTGCGCTTTGTGTGCCGGCCATTGCTGGTGTTGACATTTGGAATCACAGTAGGCGGTCACTGGCGCATCGTCAGGTTGATGCTCTGGTGCGTTCAAACAACCGGAGCATCTTGTCGTTGCTGGCTTGCCACAGCTTGCGCAAGATACAGGGTCAGGCATTTCACGGTAATGTTCTAAGAGTGCTGTGATGGATATTTCGAGTGGTTATTGTTGATTTCGTGAACAAAAACTGGTGAAGTTGGGAAACGTCAGAGTAACTCCATGTAAAATGCGGTTTATCGTTACTTTAATTGCAAGGAAACTTTGTCGTTCCTTAGTGTGCTATCGCACTACATCGTCGTTACCTTCTAAGTGTTGGTTGCAACTTCACTTTTGCTACCGGTCCGTCGTGATTTGGTGGGCATGTTAAGTACCTACCCATTCATAAACAGAGAGGGAGCACGATCCAGGCATCAGATATGTGACAAGAAGTCACCTAAAGGAAGAAAGTTAAAAGGTCACTTGCCAACGGCTGCGCTGCTAGGGCAGTCCTTGAGATTTCGTACTTGAGATGCAGCGAGTAGTTCAATTTCTAACAGTTCCAAACATGATTTCAAAGGGTGATCGGCAAAGGAAATATGAACGGTCGAAAGAACCATCTGAATATCTTGATACAATCGTTCTTAGGGAAATCTCGAAAGCTTGAAAGATGCTGTAGCAAAGAAACCACGAACGGTAACCAGCCTCTATTGTATGTGTACTCAGGCTAGGGGTATTATGTATTCTATTTCAATGTATAGTTTCATTCAACGCCCTTTCCATTTTTATCCTCGATGCTATTTACCAAGCCCCAAATGTACGCATGGTTGATGAGGTCAAAGTTAAGCTAAACCACTACTTATTGGTTCAAGTCCAATCAGATTTCCTAAGCATCATTCTTGACTGTGGATATCTTATTCATCAAGAGTAATTGTTAACTACTCCATCTACTACAAAGCTATCGGAGTAGTAAGTAGGAGGGAAAACCAGAGACAGCTGTCTGCATAAGTTGAGGAAATTAATTGGACGGTGTTGCCTATCGCTTACAAATACTATTTCTTAAGAATCAGTTCTACATCGCCAATGACCAAGTCTTCTACGAGTTACTTAAGCTGATGTCTAAAGGGGCTCGTCGGAGAACCGATAAGAGGCACCTCCGCTCTTGTGGGGAATTGACCTATACCATCTCCTTACATCAGCAGCCAAGACGCTGAGGATCTCGTCTTCTTTAGGTATCTCCGACATCAACAACGTCTTGACTAAGCTTCTGATACGATTGTTAAGGATTCAGGCTTGATACGAGCAGGAGAAGGTCGCAGTAATTGGACTACATGCATCGGAATACCTTCAATTCGACGTGATAATCCATACCAAATAGCAACCGAACTTGGCAATTCCGTAAATCGCTCTAGACTAGCCGCCCAGGGCCGCCGGGCCGTCATCGGCAAAGTTACGATCAAGGTCCAAGATATGGCGTATTTCTCAGCTCAGAAGGATATTTAAATTTAAACTTGGGGTAACCCGCTGCCAGTTGGTTTTCGAATGTGTGTCAACCAGTAGCTACGAAAGACCAAAGGCATAAATCAAAATTTCATATTGACCCGACCACTCACCATGTCTACCATCAAAACATCCGTCGTCCTTGAAGCGGGACCGAATACCGACATCTGGAAGAAGCCGCCGACGACGAATATTTGGACTGGTACTACGTTCCTATCTCCTCTCTACCTTTAACTCTTGGCTAACCCTCCTAGCACCCATCTCCCACACATCTTCAGGCCTCTTGAAGAACTTCAAATCAGCCCGCGTCACCTTTTGGGCTGACTGGAAGGAGCGGTACGACCAAGGAGGTCTGCTCCTCGTACCTAAGCGCCGCTCTTCGGCCAACATCTCCCCGCCCGAGAAATGGATCAAGACGGGCGTCGAGTACTACGTTGGGCGGCCGCAGCTGAGCACCGTAAGCACGGACCGCTTTGCGGACTGGAGCGTCGCGCCCCTGACTCTCACGGAAAACGAGCCCGAACCCGCTAAGGTGGGCGGAGTCACTATCGAAATCGCGCGCGAGGGCGACGAGCACGGTAAGAGCTTCTGGGTGCACCGGCTCGTGCTGGATGCGAACGGCGACGTCGTCGAGAAGATTCCCCTGCGGGAGATCTGCTGGGTGCTCGCGGACGAGGACGAGGCCGGTGGCGAAGAATGGCTTCTGGATGTAAGTCCGCTGGTGGCTCGGCCGGAGAAAAACGCGACCGGCTCGCTCAAGGTCAATTTCAAGACGTTTGAGGTTCGGTGGGCGTCGTAAGGCGGAAATAAAACCTATGCCAAGACGAGATCGGACGGAACGTTAGTCTTCAGTCTGCGACTCGTATTCGGATATATTTAACGATGGCTGCTTCTCGGCGCTTTGTATGTTAACCTAGAGTCGCCGTACTATTCTAAGCGAATCTTCCACGGGCAGGGATGCGTCTTCATGGTCGCTGAGTTGCGGTCCTCTTAGCTGCTGAAGTACTCAGACTTTTTAAACACACTTACGCTTCTCAATGGAGAGTAGACATGCTGCCGGAGACGAAAACTCGAGCCGGTAGGCAGTGTGCAACCGTGCGACCTCGGAAAATTACGTCAGGGGTGCGCGAGAAATCGACGACGTCAGTTTCAGTTCCCATTGGTCGTTCCGGTATCTCGCATCAAATTGCACGTATGCCTGTGGACATTTGTCATTCTTGAAACGAATGGGGATATGGTTGGAGAAGAGGTTTGATGTCCAAGGTAGAGGTCCCTCGTCGCTCGAGCCAATCAGACTTTAGAAGCCAATGTGTATCTTCAGACGCCACCTAAGTGGTAGGAATCTCGGATGCATGAGTGCGGGGGTCCTCCCTCTTGTCCTTATGTCCTCTGTCCCTCGCGCCCTCATGATGCGCGCACCTTGTTGGAGTATTATCAACTGACTATCACGTGGGATATTTGTCGCCATCGATACTTGCTTGCATATATATAAGGTACCTACTATATACGGAAACTTCAGTAATTAGCTTCGATCGTCATCATGACGTTCGCAAACGCTGCGCGCTAAGCAACCATAAAGTCCAGCGCCACTTATATACTCTATAAGAATGCAGCCGAGAAAGTACCCGCCGATCCTTCCGTCGGCTCCTCTGCCGGAAGAGGAAGAACCGCTGAATCACGGACCCGGCCCCGGCCCCAGCACGCGACGGCAGAGACCTGGTGCCTGCACTACATGTAGACGTCGCAAGATCAAGGCAAGCGATTTAATTGACGCTTTTATCCAACCCGGCCCGCGTCGCTCTAGCTAACTCGGTATAGTGCGATGGCGTGCGACCGAAGTGCACCAATTGCGAAAAACGAGGGGTGAAATTTTGTGTCTACATCGATAAAGTTAAGGCTGGACCCGAGGTGATGGAGGTGCTTGAGCTCCTGAAGTCGTTGCCTATAGGCGAAGCGTTCGGGCTCTTAAATTCGCTCCGAGAAAAGGGGGATCCGGCGACCGTCTTGTCGGTGTTGAGAGAGGGTGACGCCGAGGGACAGCCTACGTTCCTAGGTGCGGAAGCCCGAGGATTCGTCCCTCGAAACATGCTCGAATTGGAGCTGATGGCCAATAATTCCAAGTCGTTTCTTCCCTTGCGTCGTATCGATGCGCGCGTCTTGGCTAAGAGCGATCTCTTACGCCCCATGCGACGGTCTATGGAGGATAACCAGATGTGAGTCGACCGTCGTAGCGATTAGGACGCATGGTATTAATCTCCCGAACCATAGGAACCCCCCATTTCCAGTCAACACTGCTTTAGAAGGCAGACGATTTCCTCTTCCCGTAATTCCCGGACGAGGAGTCGGCTACTGCGACGAACGACTTCATAATTTGCAAGCCGATTTCTGGACCAATGTCATGGTCACCAACGAGTTTACGGCGCAAGTCATCTCTCTCTATATAAAAACTGACCACCCGATCTTAGGCCTTTTTAGTCCACACCTCTTTATCACAGACCTAGTTAATCAGCAAGATAGGTTCTGCTCTAGGTTTCTTTTTCACGCGGTAATGTATCTGGGATGTGTAAGTGGAAAGAGGACTCCAAAAGGACACGAGCGAGGCTGACCAGCCGCAGCAGATGTATAGCGCCTTTGACAAGGATGCGATGCAATTCGCCGACGAGTTCCTCCACGAAGCTCAAAAGGCGCGGAAAGAAGAACCAGACTCGTACTCATCCATGGCGGGCGCTGTATTGCTCAGTATATCTCTCATAGGAAATAGTAAGGATCATGCAATTCTCTTCTATGCAAAGGAAGCGATGCAGATGGGCAAGAATTTGGGGCTCTTCGACGATGACGAGGGAGGACCGGCGAAATCAAACGAGAATATGTCAAAAGAAGATATGACGGCACGCTGTTACGCGGCATGGGGTACGTTTAATTGGAATGTGTAAGTGAAATGACTCGACAAAAATAGCGTTCGTTGACTTGACGCGTGCTGATATGCTAGACTTGTATCGCTATTTTATCGGCAGCCAGGCGCCGAGAGCCCGAGCTCAGCTCCCGTGCTACCCATCCCAGGCGAGAGGACGACGCCTGCACACCAAGATGGTGATATGGGCGAGAGTTTTCCGGCTGACGAGTGTCTCGTAGAGATGATTTTCCCCGCGCTCTGTCGTTTTTGGAAGATAATCCAAGGAGCCGCGTGGATATATACCCCAACCCAAGGCCGTCCGCCGGATGTCTTTAGGATGGCTCTCGTCGAACATAAGTTTCGTGAACTAATCGCGTGGGCGGAAGCCCTGCCGTTACGTTTGCTTCGAACGGAGGACCAGACCCATCATGTTATTCTACTTCAGCGAGTATCCCAAGAGAATTTCTTGTTTGGGGTTTGTTCGCTGCTAACCGGTAATAGTATATGGCTTCATTGCGCTATCCTCGACGTGTTCCGACCCTTCGTCGGGAAATCAGAAGGTCAACGATCGCGCCTGACGACGTTCTCAGCGTGCGATAGCTCTCCGGATGCGGTCTACGCCGCCTCGGTCGCTCAGCTTAAGAATCTTATCGTCGAGTATCGCAGCAATTTCGTGGAATCTACCTGCTCGATCCTCTGGCATACCGGACTCCTCTACCTAGCGAACGCCATGCTGAAAGATACGAGCGACCCGGATCGGCGCCTCTACCTGATGCTCTGCCTATACGGCTACGAAAGTCTTAGTCGTCCGTTCCGCATCTCCGAGGTCATCGTCCAAGGCTTGCTGTCCATGACCCTGAAGGAGACGGACATGACAGGAAGCGAGGCGCAAAGAATAGTTGACGAACTCAAAGAGGGAAGACTGGATAGTCTGAAGCAAGACTTTGAACACAAAACCCGTGCTACGTTTATGGTTGATCTGGATCTAGCGCTGAAACACCCCGAACAGGCCAGGGCGGAGAAGTTGGCGGACGAATTTGAAAATTTAGCCCTGTTTCGCGATTTCCTTGACCAGGAGAGGATGGAGATTTAGAATAGAGCTTGAAAGGAAGCTGGTAGATATACGATGGAAGGAGAATCGAGGAATCTCCCTTATCTACGGGAGTTGAAAGGTTAATGTTTCGGATTTGAGACTTATGTACTTCGTACGAAGTAGTCTAATGCTAAAGGCAACAGATACAAATGTTTGATTGGTGGTTGGTCTCACTGCGGGGCTACAGTTACTTTCGTACCTTGAACCTAGAAGGTCAACAGTATTGAATCTCATAGCGCTTGCCTTGTCTTTTAAAGATATGCCCTGGGTTGGTAGGTACGTGTATCAACGAAATAAAATACATATGTACCTACCTCATGTGGGCAGATAAATGTACTTCACATGTGGGTACGGGTTATAGAGGCAGGTGCGAGAGTGCACGTTATCTGTGCGGTCGCGGTGCGCCATCATTTTGTGTACTGTGCACCGCGGAAGAATCTCTCAATTTATTAATTTATTCTCCACCGCGCCTAACTTGTAACAAGTCTATACTGCGTTAATCAATGCCTTCTAAGTCTTTATTCCAGGGAGTTCAAAGCTAAACGGGCTTCGACATGGCTATCCTCGAGGTTGTTCCGGGTATCGAAGCTGTCGTGCAGGTTGCCGGTAGTGATGCTACCGAGTACGAGGATCCCAACGCGTTGGAGCAAGATACCACGGACGCGATTTGTCCCACTTCAACTAAGTATATCGAATGTATTGATGGGGCTAGGTTTACCATTAAGGCGCGAGTTACTAGAGACTACCAATGGAGCCGCGAGGTCAATGCTCTTACATGGAATTTTGACGTGGACGGTAACAGCATTACGGGTTTAGTCACGATAAAAGAGAAAATGGTCAATGGCGTCAAAACATCAATTATAGAGGGCAACAGGTTGTATTGCACTCGGACCAAGAAATGGATTCTTCAGAAGTTTCAGTTCTCTGCTATTGACGTCGGTATGTTTCTTATAGTCGTCCATGTGGAAACAGTGAACTGACGGAAGATTAAGTTGACGACGCGAAAAAGGATCGAATCCAGGATGACATCAAGATAGCTAAGCACCTTGGGATGATTCAAGTTCGAGTCTATCGGTGTATCTATTTAGGAGATTCCACACCATCACTCGGGAAGCCTATCACAAGCGATAAACTAGAGCTTGCAGAGAAGTCACTTAAGGGCAAAGCCATATCGCACGGAACATCGTACGTCTTTTAACCGAATATTTCGTACGTGAAGCTTGTGCTAATGCTAAATTGATAAAGATTTTCGTCATCGGGGGATCGTGTATCTGCTCCCAGGTCGTGTAGTGTAAGCTATGTCGACGGGCGTGATAAGCCAATTGCGGTGTTTCGGTTCCATTATAGATCTAGAGGTATGAAGAGCAGGTGGCAATCACATCCAAAGTTGCGTATACTAATATCCCAGATGCTCTAAAACGCGAGATGGTCATTCCTCGATCCCCATCGCCAAGCCCAGGGCCGAAGCGGGAAGTCGCTCGAATGTCGCGGGCTGAACTAGAACGGTTAGCTGGAGAGAGGCTCGTCCAGCTGCAGGTACGTAGCTATGCTGATTGGCTACCCTGTATGCCTACTAACTAGGTTTAGAGAAATGGTAACATTAAGGAAGAGCGCAAGCCTACTTTGAAACGGGAATTCAAAGAAGTCATTGACTTGAGCGACGAGACCGAGAGGCCCGTAAAGTCCTCTCGAATGGCTCCGGAGATACCAGAGGAAGTTATTGATCTGACAGACGATTAAATATGGTCTGGTTAACGTGATACTGAAGATGTATCAATTATCTGCAGATTTTGTCATCCTGTAGCTTATTTTCTTGTGAGAGAAGGGTGAATTAGAGTCGACCTATCGGAGTCGGGTTATGAAATTAAATATGTTTAAGAATGGAATTAGGTCTGCTAGATTGTTAAATGATAGAAAATCGTTCTCAGTGTGACAGGCCGAGGAATTGAAGAAAGCGTGTCAAGGACGCTACCAATAAATTCAAAGCTACGTGCGTAGGTTAGGTACAATAGGTAGTGGCTAGTGAAGCTAAGCTTGACGTAACCAACCCCCCTGTATGGAATGGAGCTCTAGTCCCACTTATAGCTAACAAGGGAACTTAGCCCTTGGAAGTACATACGCTGATACGTAGCTCTTTTTTTCCCACGAAATTTACAATACTCTGCTATTTGTCAACTTCACTACTCTCCGTCTCGCACAGCCATTGAGCACCGACAAGCAAAATGGCCGATACTACGAAGCCCGTCAAGAAGTCTTCACCTATCAAGAATGCTTATCTGATCCTCTATAATGCCGTGTCGGCTGCTCTCTGGCTCACCGTGCTGAGCCGCGTCGTCATCGTCAACCTGAATAGCACTCCGCAGGCGGTCTACCCTGCCGTTGGCGAGTTCTGCAAGTGGACGCAGACGTTGGCTGGAATGGAGATTTTGCACTCACTACTAGGTACGTTTTATCTCAGATCTCCAGCTACTTGTTTCTGCATATACGGACCGTGCTCGTATGACTTGGAAAGGGTTTTCTATATTACAGTTCCTGGCCTATTGACAGTTGAATTGTCGGGTAGACTAGAAAGCTAACGTCTCAATTGCTGATAGGTGTCGTGCGCGCCCCGTTCTTTACGACCTTCATGCAAGTCTTCAGCAGATACGCGATCGTGTGGGGGATTACCGGACTATTCCCCGAGCTCGCCCTCGGAAGCGGTAGCGGTGACGGTTACAGCAGCCTAGCGTACTCATCGATGCTAGTAGCATGGGGTGTTACCGAGGTCATCCGATATTCGTTCTTCGCACTATCGCTTTCTTCGGGCGGGCAACCACCTTCGATACTGCACTGGCTGCGCTACCACACTTTCTTCATTCTATATCCCATCGGTATCTCCAGCGAAGCTTACCTGATCTGGCGCGCCGTTGAGCCTGCCAAGGACGGCGTAAGCCCGCTATACTCAACTGTACTTTTTGGATACGTAGCGTTGGTTTATCCTCCGTGTAAGTAGAGTACCCCCTTAGCTTTACCGAAAACAGACGCTAACGTGATACTTCCAGCTGCGTATTTCTTATATACGCACATGATGGCCCAGAGACGAAAGATTTTCGGGACTAAGACGCAGAAGAAGGTCACAAAGTAGAGTTCATATATGTCCGGACACATTGTAACGAAAGGAACGGGTTGCAAAGCCCTGATGGAAGATATATATTCATGAATATCCACGTAACTGGTCAGGGTAATATATATGTAGAAGTATAGACAGAATACACCTATAAACAATAGCTTGCACACCCCGCTTAGCGCTTCTTGTCTATTCAATTGCATGTCGGCCGCTCGTCTCGTACCATTCGTTGCGGGACCAGCGCACTATCAAGTTCTTTGCGTCTTCCGATAACTTGCGATACCCGGGGTTCTCTTTGGGCTCGAACATTGCTGCATACTAACGTCAGTACCTACTTAAGCTATTCGAATTACCTTGAAACAAGAAACAAAGACAAAGAAAACAGACTTACCCATATGTGCTCCTATCTCGTCCGTCACCTTATCGTTTACAGCTTCTATCCATAGACCCATCGTCCGCTTGTCGCGCGCGGGTAGATTGCAGAAAGTCCGCTCGTTACCCATGACGGTTCCCACCATGCTAACCTCCTTCGCAGATGCGGCTTTCCCAAGACGCGTGTATAGATTCGCAAAGCCGATGCCCATTTCCCGATCCAACTTCACCAGCTTTGTTACCCGCTCTCGTAGCTCCGTACCTCTGGCTAGACATCCTACAAATTCGAGATGCGAACTGACCCACGACCACCCCGAGGTGAGATGCTCTCGGTTCATATATGCCGCCGCGCCACCAGCCGCTAAAGCACCAGCCGCTCCGGCCACTGCTGCGATCTGGCCCCATCCCCATCCTCCGCCGCCCTGCTTCTTGTTCTTGTCCTGGGGCGATTCGGGAGCGGGTAGAGCACCGGCAGGCTTCTTGCTGGCGCCTCCGGTGTTTCCGGACGCTTGGTTGTAGTTGTTCCAGAAGATGCTGGATAGCCCGTTCAGCTGGGTCAAGGCGCCGTTGAGACTGTTATAGTGGCCCTCGGCGCCGTGGGCAACAACTCCGGGAGAAATTCCAAGGTAAGGAGTGTCAAAGGCGAGAACTCCTTGGATGTAGGGGAACATGAGGCTTGTAGGACCCAGAGACTCGCCGACTAAAACGGTAAGGCTGTCGCGATGACTGGCTTTATTGGTATGGGTAACGGGTACCTCGGAAGCGAGGCCGATGGCAGTCTCGGCGGCAACGATGCCGCCCATGGAATGTCCGATTAGGATCGTACGAACGGAAGGGTCGACGGTTGGAGAAGGCGTTCCGGCGGCGACCTCGATGTCGATCACCTTGTTAAGCAGCCAGTCGCGGAAGCGAGCGACGCACTCGTGTAAGTCGCCGCGGGTCTCATATCGAGGGTATGTGATAGCGCGTACCGATACTTTAGGCAGCGCGGCACCTACGATGGCAGCGAGATGCTGCGCGAACTCGGACTTTTCGCCAAAGGTGTCGTCACCCCCCTATTATCGGGTTATCCAGTTAGAAAGGCGGCATTGCCTACAACGAGGAAGGGGAGGAAGCAAATTTTCAAAAACTCACCTTGAAGCCGTGAATAAAACACAACAGCAGCGTCTTCTTCATCTTGAGTCCCCATCGAAAGGGGGGTTACGAAAGAGAGATTCGAGTGGAAGATAAAAGTTGGGAAGTTTCGGACTCGGCAAGGTAGGCACATAACGCATGATAGCTGAGTTTCCTTAGGGCTGTAGGATCGGCGCTGAGGGTCCTACGCTCCAGTGGGGCTCTACTATCCCCCGGCGGTTCTTGGCTCCAAAAATGACGTTTCTTCAGCAGGTAATCCCACCTGATAGTGCTTTTTCGCTTATCAGATATCATCCAGGCCTAGTCACATGCGCATCACGGAACCCAAAGTTTCAAGTCGCAACCTTCAAAATCATAAATTGGTTCGTCCAATTCGAATCCTCCAGATAAGCTACAGATAGGACCCATTGCCGAATGAAGAAATGTCCTACGATCCAATATCCGACGTCCACGACAGTCAGATGAAGCACTGCACGAGATATCACCTTGGAAACTTCCGATCGAATCGCGCTAGCTAATAAGTAGCCGTCAACCTCTGGACGAGATACTGGCCGCTATTCACTCCCTCGTATTTTTTGTCCTGTTCGGTAGCGTAAGTGTTAGGGATGGCCTCGATGTAGTCCTTGAAGTTGGGATTGCAGAAGTATCTGTAGAGCTTTATTAGCCACGTACTTGGACGCTTGACAAGACTCCACGTGTACGTACGCTATACTATATCTGGCCGGATAAATGTCGTCTCGACGGGACGGGGGTTCTACGACACGATGAATGGTACTCTTGATATTATCGTTGCTCCACCTTGCTAGCAAATCTCCAGCGTTTACCACGCAGGTGTCCTCGATGGGCGCCGCGTCAACAAAGACACCCGTCGGACTCTGTACCTGCAGACCGCCCTGAGAATCCTGGAATAGCAGAGTGATGGAGCCGTAATCGCTGTGCGCGCCGGTGCGGACCTGTCCCGGATTAATTTTGAACACGTCTCTCTTAACTTCGGGGTAGTGAAGAAGTCTCAAGGTGTTATCTCCGACGTCCGTGTACTTGTCGAACCACGATTCTTCGATACCCAGGCCCACAGCGATGGCGCGCATAACTTCAATGTGCAATTCTTTGCACTTGTTATGGAATTCGAGCATTGTCTCCTTGAAGCCTACCAGCTCGCCTTCTTCGTCGGGCCAATGATTCGCGTGACCGGGCTCGTCGTCACGCCCGATTTCTAGGCTTTCCTTTAGGTCAGGTACTGCATCCCTCAACTTCTTAACGGCGTCCATGTCCGTCAGGTCCGTGTTCTTCTCTCTGCCCGGCGCCGAGTAACCCCGGTTCGCCTCGGGCGTAGTCCAGCAGTGAGACATCTTGGTCTCGACGGGAAGCCTGAAGTACTTGGCTGACGTATCAAACACATGCTTCCGGTACTCCGGCTTGACGGGCAGACCCTTCAGATAGATGAATCCGGATGTTTGAAAACCGCGGAGGATGGCATCGGCGGTCTGCTTCCTCTGTTCCGGGTTACCGTTCAGGAATTGGGAGAAGTCGATAAGCTAGGATTTCTAGTGCTCAGCTATATATCCTCGAGGCGCTTTACATATACGTGTCTGAGACCTACCGGGATGAACAAGCCATCGCTTTTTACAGCTGCTTCCTCCATTGCTTCTTTCAATTGGGAAACGTCAAAGGTAGCTTGTCGCCTTGCTTTTTAGAATTTATATACGTCAACTTAGGCAAGTTGATGAGGATGGGTTTATGGGAAAAGAGTAAGACGAGTCGACGAGGAAGAAAAGCACATCCTTACAACTACACACGGCAGAGTGTCATTGAGCTAGGATACCTAGTTACCTTTTATCTAAGCAGACGAAATTCGGCTACATCCGACGAAAAGCGAAACTTTCTAACTCCTTTGCGAGACGACATTCCAAAGCAAGCGTTTTTTTATCTTCCACCCGGAGCGCAATACCTGGCTTATCAAAGTATCACTGCATCTTAGACTGGAAGAGGATGAAAACCGTTCGATATTCATTCGAATTTAGCACGTTCATGATTACTTGACTAATAACATTGAGAGGTATCAGGTAAGAACAATCACTTTCCATCTGCTCGTAACTATAGGTATCTACAAACCCCGCTACGTAGATAAGGGATTGCCCTCTAGATCATGCATGAGATAAGAGTTCCGAGAGGGGGTGTGATGTACTCCAGATAGCTCGAGTGGACGCCTTCAGATATCACCTACCAAATGTGGGGTATCATTCATGAGCCTCGCATCAGCCAAGATTTGAAGGCTAGACATATGGGCTAGGTATTGTTGATTCGAGATAAGCTTCAGAAGTTCATTCAAGTTACTCTACGAAGTCGGAATTTCGTTCACGTATCTTCGTTTCACATCATCCTACGTACTCATACCACATACCTATTCATAAATTAACTAATTAACTTGTCGGGTGGTAAAGTTGCTACGATGAGCTCATCAGCACACCGGGTAGTGGATATCCACACCCATATGTATCCCCCGGCATATGTACAGCTCCTGGAATCCCGAAACAGCATACCCCTAATCCGGAAGTTCGCCGGTGCAAAGGAGCCCCGCCTCATCATCTTACCCGCCGAAGCGGAATCGCTGGACAAGATTACATCGGAAAATCCGGAGAAGACGTCATCTCACCTTCCCGGCCGGCCGGTGACGACGCATTATTCCTCTCTTAGTCAGAAGATTCATTTTATGGACACTCATAAAATTGACATCTCGGTCATCTCGCTCGCGAACCCGTGGCTCGACTTCGTCGCCGCCGAGGACGCCGGAGAAACTGCCAAGTCCATCAACCAGGAATTTTCCGATATGTGCGCCGCGACCCCGGGCCGGCTGTTCTTTTTTGCAACTCTGCCGCTGACTGCCCCTCCCGAAACTCTTCTCGCAGCTATCGGACACATCCGCAGCTTGAAGTACTGCCGAGGCGTGATTCTGGGAACGTCGGGGCTCGGAAAAGGTCTCGATGATCCAGCTTTAGTGCCAGTCTTCTCCGCGCTCGCCGCTAACAAGCTGACCATATTCCTGCACCCGCATTATGGCTTGCCGAGCGAAGTGTGGGGTCCCCGCGCTACAGAAGAATACGGCCACGTGCTACCGCTGGCCCTTGGATTCCCCATGGAGACGACAATCGCAGTGGCGAGGATGTACCTCGCAGGCGTATTCGATCAGGTGCCGGAGTTGCGTTTGATACTAGCGCATAGCGGCGGAACGCTACCTTTCTTAGCGGGCCGCATCGAGAGCTGTATCGTTCACGATGGGCATTTAGTCCAGGAGGGCAAGGCGGGGACTGGCCGACGGACAATATGGCAGATCCTTCGGGAACAGATCTACCTGGATGCTGTTGTGTACTCTGAGGTTGGGCTAAAAGCAGCGATCGACGCTAGCGGGACCGATAGATTAATGTTCGGCACGGACCATCCGTTCTTTCCGCCGCTAAACAGCGACGAGCAGGGCGAATGGGAGAGCGTGACTTGGAATGCGGAGGCTGTGAGGAAAGCCCTAGGGGATGCGACCGACCGCGGGAGAGCGGTTATGGGGGGTAATGCTGTTCGGGTGCTGCGGCTGTATGAAGATAGCTGAAGTAATTCCGGGTCTAAATACACTTACCGAGGGTATTCCCGACGGAGTGTGCTAACCTAGGTTCATGGTTACGCGTACTAATGCTTAATTTGAGGCTTGTAGTTGATATGAATGAGGCATATCCTTGCAATCATCTTATGTAGACTAGGTACTGTATGCAAATCCCAGTGTAACCGCAAAATCCGCAAATTCCTATCGGCACCTTGACCAAGTCGCATTCGCTATATAGGTACGATGGGTCTACTACTCCTCGCCGACTACCTTACGTACTTCATTTAAGCGTAGCCACGATGATACCTATTCCATCACCCGGGGGTTGGTACAGACCTTCGATAGCTAATCCGGCAGCATGCAAGAGGTTATTCCATTGACTTGCTGCCCTTTCTTGAGATGAAAGGACAATAAGCATCAAAATATCCAACAGTGCTGGAAAAAGAGGACAACCTTCTTCGGGTAAAATCATATCGTTGATAACAAGATACGAGTAACCTTTCGTCATGGCAGCTGAGACATTTTTCAAGATTTGAAGGCATGCATCGTCTTGCCAGTCATGCAAGACATACTTCATATAGTAGATACGGGCGCCTGGTTTAATTAGTAATGTACCCCCCTGGTCTATTCAGATGGGACATAACAACTTTACCTTTTACAGGTGCTTCTTTGAAGAAGTCGATGGGGTATTTCTTAACCGTGGCGGGTAAATCAGCGACAGAGCTATCGAGCACAAGCTGCTGATCTTGTAGGATGAGCTCTCCCTCCACATCTGGAAACCTCTTGCAGAATTCTACAACGTCATGTCCACGGCCGCCACCAATGTCCACGAGCACGGGCAGATCTTTGTTGTAGCCCTCGAGTGACTTCTCCTTTACTGGGAACCAAGAGGCCCATGATGGGCTGCTGCCTCGATCGCCTTCGAAAAAGGTATTTGCATGGTCCCATGCTTCTTTAGCCTCTGGCCTCTTAAACCAGGTGAAGAGAGGCTCTTTAAATCCATGGGTGGCTTGGATAATTCCCTTTGCTGGATCGGTAGGGAGTTGATAGCCTGTGCTTTTGAACCAGCTAGGTGCTTCCACCGCGGCTGGTGTACATAAATCGAATCTTCCAACTATCGGTAAGTAGTCTACGCCGATTTAGATGGATTTCACTTACAAGTGTTTGACCATGCCTTCGCTGGTTCGTTGACTTAAGTGGCTTGACCACTTCGTTGATCCATATAGGCCGTTGCCCTTCTCGGCAACGTAGCCTGCTGCCGTTAGCACACGTAGAAGCCGTCCTGTTCTGTGGTTAACATACGCAGACAAGAGTTTCTTCGCTACGTACGGATTAATATTTCATCAGCGCCGTTTTCCTTGGCGATCTCCTCTGCCGACACTACGTCCTGTCTTTCGAGCATACGGAATACATTCAACTCAAGACAAGTCCGAATACACATCCAGACTACCGGCTGTGGCAAATTCGATTAACCCTGAGTTTAAATTTGCAAGGATAAATCTTACGGTGGATGCAACTTTCAACATTCCATCTCCCGGTTTCTCTAGCGTGTTCTGAAGCTTCCGTGCCGCTTCCAAAGCGTCCACTCGTGATGATTCAGAGAGATCCGATCCTGGCTTTCCTGATAGCGTCTTGGTGATCGCGGAAGCAATTTCAAGGGCTTCGAGCCTCTCGGGTTCTGGAAGAATATTGATGACAAGATGAAATGCCTGGAGAATTGTTGCACTTGGGCCTAGGAAGAGTTAATGGAAATGCAAGAGGAGAGAATGATAGTATAAACTGAGGGGTTTCCCGGGCTGTATACTTCTGCTAACCTTGTGCTAGAACCACATTCCGTATTTAAATTAAAAGGTCATGACCGAAGAAAATCCCCTGGCTTAACCATGGCAGACCCTGGCTCCGGGTTCTTGAGAGCCTGGTTTCACCAACCCCACCCTGTGCGTGATACTCGTCACTTAGAGGGATGTCTTCATGTATGCAAGCAGCGTAGGTTCACAACAGTTCGATAAAAGCGAATCAGCTCTCATTCTACAAGGACGATCATCCTTGGTAGAAAGTTCGTAGCACGTGATATCAATCTACCTATCACGGGTGTGAGGAATTAGCTATGAACCGGGGTCGATCTTACGAGTACTTGGGTATACGCACGGGTAACCCGTATAAGAGGTACCTAAGGCTGCAGCGAGTTCGATGAGTCAGTTAATAGCTTGACCTGACTTGGACCTGACCTGGCTTGGGTAGATGGTAAATATTTTTTCTTTGTGCAACAATTACATAAATTGAGGGTATACGCATATATTTTCGATGTATTATGATTGGTGGCTGGCTGATTTTGGGTGGAGTATTACATGTGGGTAATGTGGCTAGAGCTGTGGCTTTATAAAGGCTTCCAGGCCAGTTGTTTTTGGTTCGGGAAAGATGTCAGGGTCCCGTGTAGAGTGGGAGACAGGGGACTAGCTACTAGCATAGTTGTTGGCAATATTGACCCATACCTCCCAAGAATACGGGGTGGCATAGCCTCCTTATATAGGCCTGGTGTCTAACGTCTACCTTACGAGGTACCCCTATTGTATCGTGATAGACTCCCCTTTAATATTGCTTTACTCTTGAGGTTATACAAAGCCTCCCCATCTCGTCATCCCCTAGTAGTCCTCTGGGTAGTCTTCTAGGTAGTCTCCGGGATAGCATACCTTCTCAAACGGTCTCTTAAGTAATTTTTATGAAAAGTCCCATTAAATTAAGCTTCTCACTACCTAATAAAACTCTATAAATCCAACGCTACTGTGATGGATTTACGATAGTCTCACCATGGTACGTACTACCTAGTCGAGACTAGAAAAGCAAAAAGGAAAAGACGTTCCGGCGTCATTGATATCTTACAATAACCTTGCCACACACATCCTAGGACGACCTCCCTAACATATGTACTATCTCGCCGTACGAGGCTAGCAGAGTGAAAAGCCTCGATGTTATCGTCATCCGGATACAAGGTTATCGCTATGTGTTAAATAATATCCACTTAAACACTTAATTGATGTCATCTTCCGTGTGATATGCCTCTCCTGGGTAACGGATCAACTTGTCCGGATACTGTATAGCACGGAGTGAGAGGTAAGGGCCTAGCTCTAATATAGTTTGTGACTACTCAGGCATTCACTCCAAATAATGGGGGGGGGCGTTGCTAAGTAGCCCTATTATATCCTAGCTAATGACTTAAAGGCTTTCCAAATGAGGTTTATGTCCAGAAGACCACATGGCTCAATTAAGGACACATATCTCCTATAGCCCACGCCACTTTCTAACCCTATTTCTTATTCCACAATAACCTTTAGGGGTAGCCAGCAAAGCGTTCGTTTACCACCATTCCATTTTCTCAACATCCATCAAAACTCCAACTGGTTGCCTATATTGCCTCGATAAAGGAAATAAAGGAATGGCCGAAAATGGTAACTCGGCTATACTGATTGCCCTGGCCTGGGGTCTCGGATCATTGGTTATTATTCTCTGTGCTACTAGACTTTGGGCCAGGAAAAGTAAGTTGGCTACCACAGTACGTCTGTTCAGTTACCATGGACGTGCCTATCAGTCTATCTTTCAATCCATTGAAGCTCTCAATATGAAGAGTACGTTAGCTGATCTTCATTCTCGCAGTGGTAATCGACCGGGCCAGCTGGGATGATATCTTCATGACTTTAGCTGGCGTACGTTTCGTTATCCCAGCTGTGAGGCAAATCTAACTGGGGTCTAAAATAGATATTCGCGATTCTCTGCTCGGTATTCGTTACGATTGCTGCTCATTACGGACTCGGTAGGCACATCGACACTATCACCGACCCTTACCACAGACAAATGGCAATAAAGTATACCATTATAGCACCTTCATTTTCTATTGTATCGTCGACACTTAGCAAGATCTCTATCCTAATATTTCTGACTCGGCTGATTGGAGTTACTGCTACGCGACTACATCTAGCCTGCATCTGGACGTTAGGTGCCATCTTAGTTATTGCAAATTTCATCGCAATAGTCATCCTCCTTCGTTTCTGCATCCCTATCGAGAAGCAATGGATGCCTGAAGTTAAAGGGAGCTGTATAAGCCCCGAAACCCAGTACGTAGCGTTAATCCATCGATAGGAATAGATACTCACTAAATCATCCTCTAGCTCTTATAGTGGCATTATCCCGTCAGCATACACAGCATTCATGGATGTTCTCCTAGCCGTTTTCCCGTCGCTTATAATAACTCAGCTCAACATAAACCTCAAGATGAAGATAGGCCTCAGCTGCTTGATGGGGGGTAGCATATTATAAGTACCTCTGATACATTCCTACTTGTTCAAGTTTACTAAACGTTATGCAGTGCTGCCGGAGCTACTATCGCCAAGATCTACTTTATGCGTGTCCATAATCTGGGCGATCATAACGACATAACATGGTCTTGGGGCAGCATCACAATATGGTACCTGTAAGTTCTAAATGTCTAGTCTTCGTTTGAGGATCTAACTAACTTGGAATAGTTGCGAGGTACGGAGAGAGCCCCTGAATCATGGTTTTTATATCATACTGATGTGTTTTAGATGCATGTCATAATTATCGTTGGTACTATACCTACTCTCTGGCCGGTTCTAAAGGGATTTGTAAAAAAGAAAGGTGGAAACTCGGAGAGCTCTGGCTCGTACCAGAATGCTTCGGGGACTACTGAGGGAACGGAGGCGCTTAGGCTATCGGACGTGAAAGGCGGTAGGAAGGCCGGTCCGGCGACAAGGGTTCTTCGAGACATCGACGACATGCGCACGGTAAGGTCATGGGATGATAATGGCGAGGCCTAGGTTTAATTAACTCGCGGTCTTTATTCCATTATCTAGGAAGATTTCGGTTGGCTTAGTATTTAAAGTTGTTCCGATTAGTATAAAAACGAAACGCACTTTAAAACTTCAGCTATCAAAGTTCCAACCCCTTCGAATACAACCAATTTGTAAGAATAAAGGTAGCCGCTTCCCGTTATTAATTCCCTTAATTTATACCGAGTGATGCTATTTGTAGATTACCATGACAGCCCTTCCACGTAGATTACCCCACAGAACAGGTGTAAGTAACTGGCAACCAAAATTATTAGTAAAATGACATGGCCCCATTCTGTTTCGTAACCTTCTCAAAATGCAGCCGATACATGCTAATTTTATAATTATATTAACAATATTCTTAATAATTTAATTGATTTAATTGATCTGATTCAATTGATCTAATTTAATTGATCTGATTTAATTGATTTAATTGATGTATGTATTAAAATCGTGGGAACGTTTCTTACAAGGTAGGTCACTTGACCAAGCCCGCCAGGCCAATTATTACCTATTTCTTATCACTCCTTAATATCTTCACCAAAATACAGTATTATTACACAATTATAATATCATTAGATTGGCCTTATTAAGCTGATTCAATTGATATAAATAACTATTGTTAAATATGCTATTATGGCCGAAAAATACAAGATTAGTTGGCCTTATCCGTAGATTACATGCCACTATTTGCAGATTAATACCTTTTATTCGTAGATTACTTTTTCAATTGCACTATAAAACACGGTCGCATTCTTTCAAATTTAGTATCAATCAATTAGTTTAAATATAAATAATTTAAATATGTCAAAAGATTCGTAAATATCTACTATTATTGTTAAAAAACATCGTACTTTTATGTCAGTAATAAGGTAGAATTGCTGGATGTCGATATATTGTAATTTTAGTACGCAGTTATATGCACCTGTTTTGTGGGGTAATCTACGTTGTAGGACCGGCAAGGTAATCTACAAATAGCATCACTCTTTATACCAAGAGCAGCTTTCACCCTGAAATTCCAACCTTTGATTTTTTCGAAATGTATTTCTATGATCCTCAACTTGTCACAGGCGAGCTTGATCTTTAGCAAACTGGTGTAGTTGGGGCTGGCCTTTTTCTCTTCCTGAGTTTCAGCGTCCATAAGAGACTTGTGTGCAAGTCCGGTGGCATCGAGCTGTTTATCAATCGCCTTTTCTTCCTTCGAGGATAAAGGACCGCGATTGCCAGGGTAGGACATAAGGTCGCACTCGAGTTTTGAAATCGCCCCAACCAGGTCATCGAGATCGTCCTCATCTATAATGATGATGTCAGGTAGCTTGTCAATTTTGTCCATGGTGGAAACTACCGAGGTCGAAGTTGGTTTTGCGTTGATTTGCCTTGCCTATCCGCGACTTATTAGGGAAACAAGTGCTTTGTGTAGATGGTTTGGTTTAGGAAAGTGGATGCTTATAGGAGGTAGAGATATCTGGTGTCGGCTTGTTTAAATAGATTCTGCGTTACAATACCAGATCGATGACAGCATCAAGTACAAGGTTTACACAGACTTGTTCAAGTTACAGGTAGGTTCGCCATTTGAACTGAATGCATTAAAGCTGTCAATTCACTACTCAGCTCCAAGGCGGAACAGTGTACAATGCCTCAAATTTACCCATCCCTAACCACACGTTGCATATTCACCATTTGGGTTTCGCCTTGGGAACCGTAACCTTGTTTTCGAAACGAGGTTACTAAATTCCTTAAATTTAGTCTACTTGCAACAAACTCACTGTTGATGATTTTATGGTATCAAGTTTATCCACGACAGAAACAAACTTGCTGTCAATCGCTGGGATATTATGACTTGCATATTGATGTCGAATTAGATAATGAGCGCTTTATGTAGTCGGTGGCCCATTGGTAGGTAAGTATGGAGGTCAATAGAGAAATTTCAAATGAAGAGTTACATAAATAAAGATTAGACGGAAGTCTACGGTAAGAATTAAGCTTGCTTACATCTGAGTGTGTCTAATATATCAGCAGTACCTAAGTGATTGATGTTTCGTATTTCACAATTAGGAAAAGCTTTTAAAAAGAAGGCCACCTAATCACGTTAAACTACCCAAGCTAACGTATTACAGAGCTGACTGTGTGACTCGGTGCTTGTTGGGTCAGCTATGTGCCTTAGGCACCTAGAGGCTAGAAACGTAACTGGTTATGCTAGTCTTAGAATTGTTGTGGGTCTAAACCACGACTAATCGCGTACCTCGTCGACGCTTAAGAATGAATAAGTATGAACTACCTTGATGGATGCGACGCTCAATACCGGATTTGACATTATTATCAGAAATATTATGCTAAGATAGCAAGCTGCCGAATTCCTTTCAGTGCTGGGATGAGTACATACCAGTTCCATGATAGAGCCAATCAGAGTTGAGCAATAACTGATAATCGGAAAAAGACCCGATGGCGACACATCGCGACATTCCATCTCCAATTGTCATCATCAAATTTAGAAGAGCACACTGTACATGGTTTCCCGGAATTCTTTCTTTTCTAAGTATTTACTCCCTCCGCTAACGTAGTGTTTCTATTGCAATTGAACATGACAAATTGCTTAGTCGATACATACCTAGGTATCTTAGCGATTTAGGCATCAAATCCTAATAGCGGTTGACGACTTATACGCAGGTGAAGATTAAATTGTATGTAGCAACTACGTGACATCCTTAGCTGCATCACCTATTTGTACCTGCAGGATTTAAACGCTATGGCTTCATTGGAGACCGTGGTATCGGATATGGCGAGCTATCTCCGTGATACTAAGGCGTTCTGCAATGTCCATCACTGCATATAGAATGTCATCATCTCCCATGTGAGGAGGGGCAACATCCTAGATAAGGAAGCCCATGTTATAAATCTCGTTTATATTTTTGGCGTCGAAAAACTTGTTTCGGGGGGCGAGAAGACTGTATGCTAGACAAAGCTGGTGCGTGTGTATCAACCATCACAATACAGTCGCCATTCAGCTATGCTACAAGTCACTACCTAGATATTTGGGTGTGCTAGAGGTCTTTAGAAAACTAGTTTCCGGGTCCAGACCTAGCACCCCCACGCCCGGGGGACCCTGAGCCAGATCCCTAGCTGGTGGTGGTACATAGCTAATTATCATTATCAATGATACCATTCCACTGGCCTCGTGGTACCCTCCTCCCAGCCCCATACTAGGCGTATATAAGGCGTCAGTCCCGAGATCCTGGGATTGTTTTGATAAGATCGACCAAAGTCACTTTCCGAAGCGAACGCTGCGCCAAGATGGCAACCGTTCTCGTTAAAAACATTGGCGACCAAAAGACTCCTACCGAGTCAACTATCTCGCTCGACAGTGACGGTATACCGCCATTGGGAGTACCGCAGCAAGAGAAGCACTTTTGGTTTCAACGTACAAAAGACTTCGACATTAACGCGATCGCGACACAGGTAATAAGCTCACACACCAAACATAAGAAGCGCTTACAGAAATGACTGACATATATATGTGTATAGCCCAGTGTATTTGACGATCCTCAGACGGTTGAGAAATACCAACCCCGCGATGACTGGTATGTCACACACTGGCTTTGTAACTTAGTGAAATCTCATCCGGCAACAGGGAAAACGTACACCGTTTCGACCCGAAAGCACGATGGACGTGGGCGGAGGAATATGCGATCGTCCGGAAAATAGACTTGAGAATTATGATCTGGGCCTGCGTTATGTTCATGGCGCTCGAGTTGGACAGAGCGAACATATCGCAAGCTCTGACGGACAACTTTCTTAATGATCTTCATTTATCCACGAACGGTGAGTCTGGTCCGTGAGGTGACACTCATATCCATAGCGCTGACGAGTTGTTAGATTACAATCTCGGGAACAGCGTGTTCAAGTTATCATTCTTGATTGCGGAACTGCCCTCCCAGCTCGTGTCTAAGTGGATAGGACCCGACCGATGGATTCCGAGTCAAATGGTTCTGTGGTCTATCGCGGCTGGGGGCCAGTTCTGGCTTTCGGGTCGGAGCTCGTTTTTGGCAACGCGGGCTCTACTAGGAATAATCCAGGGAGGATTTATCCCCGATGTGAGTAGCCAGTGTCCGAAACCTTCAACTAAGTTAATGCTGACTGTTTGGATCTAGGTTATCCTATACCTCTCATACTTTTACAAACACCACGAACTGACCATCCGCCTTGGCTTCTTCTGGACTATGATGAGTGTCGCCGACATCCTCTCGGCGCTCATCGGCGCCGGTCTTCTGAAGATGAGAGGAGTTCTCGGGTATTCTGGCTGGCGCTGGTTGTTCTTACTGGAGGCTTTGATAACCCTGGTCGTAGGGCTGTTCTCATTCGTCTTGATGCCGGCTGGCCCCTGTCAGACAGCTAGCTGGTTTCGAGGAAAGAACGGTTGGTTTACACCCCGGGAAGAGACTATCATCGTCAATCGAGTGCTTCGAGAAGACCCGAGCAAGAGCGGTATGCACAACCGCCAGCCTATAACTCCGAAGCTGTTATGGAAATGTCTCCAGGATTTCGATCTTTGGCCGCTGTACATCATCGGACTTACCTTCCAGATCCCCTCCGTTCCAGAGCAGCAGTACTTGACACTCTCACTCCGGCAGATGAAGTTTGACACCTTCACATCGAATTTGTTGTCTATTCCGTATACAGTAATCCACAGTAGGAAAATCCAAGTACCCCCATAATGATATAAACGCGCTAACTGCATGATATAGTCTTTACGATGCTTGCGAACACATACGCAGCTGAAATCTTCGGAGAACTCACTTTTGTTGCAATGATTGGGCAATTATGGATACTGCCTTTCTTGATATACCTCAACGTGGCCGATACGGCGAGCGCCAGTAGATGGGTCATCTGGACTGTGACAACTCTCTTGCTAGCGTACCCGAATGGTACGTCCCCAAACTCCTATCCTGTATTGTCGAGAATGTACTGACAATGGATTATCAGCCCATGCTATCCAAGTCGCATGGAACTCCCGGAATTCCAACACCGTGCGATCTCGTACAGTCTCGGCTGCATGCTATAACATGTTCTGCCAGGCCGGCGGCATCATCGCATCGAATATCTATCGGGCAGACGACGCGCCACTCTACCGCCGGGGTAATCGACAACTCATAGCTATTCTTGCCGGAAACATCGGCATATACTTCCTCACTAAGGTGTACTACGTCCTCAGGAATAGGTACAGGGATAAAAAATGGAATGCTATGACTGCGGAGGAAAGATTAGAGTATCTATCGACGACAACTGACGAGGGGAATAAGCGGTTGGATTTCCGATTTGCGCATTGAGATGATAGGATGATAGTGGTTTATAAATATAAGCATAAAATAGCTAGATTTTTAAGAATTGAAAACGTCCAAGATCTTGAAGATACTCAATTACAGGTACATATCCGTTAGTGTGATACGACCCCTATTTTCGATAATGGAAGTTAACATATCACCTTCCGATACTTGATATCCTGATAGTAAATATGTCAACCTCAGTTAACTTATAGGATATAAATTAGCATACTAATATGTCACATTGTCACCATGATCTGCAATTTCTCTGCGTGGTTTAGTGCTTAAATATATTTAATGATACTGCTAGTTGAGGATATCAGGTAAGCATGATGACCTCTTCCAAGCTGTGATAAAAGACCGCAGTGACACAGTGGGTAAATCAGCGTAAAATAATCAACAGAAAAACAGTGCCATTTTGCCTGGCTAGACCAGCCTAGACGCGTAGGGTATCGATGTCCCCAACTCCATTTATTTGGCCCAAAAGAATTCTTACTCTTCTCCTACAGGGTCTTGGTGCTGATCCTAGTCGGACTCTTGCAGCTCGTCGCTTTGGTCGATCGCATTCTGGATCTTGTACTCCACCGACTTCAGCGTCCTGATTCCAGCATCGATTCTCTCCTGTTCATTTCTGCCCTGGAAGGCTTCCAAGTCCTCGGCATCCTTGAGCTTTTTGTAGGCTTCGACTATGTATTCTAGGTATTGATTATACACTTTCATCTTCTTGGAAGACAGGATCTCGTCCTCGACGAGGATATCGTTGACTTCGGTTTCAAGATCATTGATATCTTCCAGAACGATATCGAGGTCTTGTAGGTCCTCGATAGTGGAGGGCTCGCCTGAAAACATCATCTTGGCTGGTTGTTAAGTCGGAAAGGTTTTTTGTCGATAATACGCAAAGGGTGAAGGTAGCTGTTGGCAGGCGAAGGCGAAGTAGTACTTGTTGTGGGTTTAAGGAAAACGTAAAGCAAGGTAGGAGAGTTTTGGACCCAGACATGTTTATATAATAAAACCTCCATAGTATCCAGAGCAGAACCACATCAAGTATGAAGCTTGGCTTGATGTGGATGTGACGAGTGTGATGACCGTATCTCCAACGCCGATGCCAATATTTCGTACGTCAATATCGTTTAACTTCTGGTTTGCAAGACGTGGGGATACAGGCAGGCCCCCGGCATTTCAAAACGATGCATTCTTCATCCGACATGTCCAGGTGCGTCATCTACTATGTCCCCAAAAGTAGATACTTGGGTTTCTATTTGGTGAGTTCCTTATTAGTCGACATTTTATCTAGGGAGGAATTACGTATATTTCACTGTAACGTAAGTACATGCCACTGAAAGGAAGCCTGCAGTCATTGCCCAGGCAGGTATCATTCGGTATACGCAGGCAAGACATGTGTAGTTAATCATCACGTTTCCATGTTGCCTCTATGTGTCATATCTGATGTCCCCTGACTGTTGGTGTTGGTTTGTCCAAGTCTACTCTGGTGGCAATACCAATCTTCGGATGATATCCCCTCTATTCCAATTAGGTGTAGGGTATGAAATTAATCCTCATCTTAGCATTAGGAAGTTTCATGGCCGCCCCTGTACCGCACCCATAATTGCGATAAGGAGATCTATCAACGTTTCAAGGCACCCTCCTTTCTTGCAACATCTAATATCTGCTCTACCAACGGCTGTACGTCAGTTCCTTTGAGTGGCACCCTATGCGCACCATCCCACTCAACCAATCTAGCAGTCCCTGGATCGCAGTACTCTTCGAATAATTCGCGATGCAGATTCAAACCCGGGTCGCTCAGCCCGTGAACGTGGATGGTCGGAAGCTTTAAGACGTGGTTCCCGCTTATCATTTCCATTAGGTCTGGCGCACCTGTGAGGCCGACCTGTGACGCCCGGCTTAACATAGATGACGTGAATACTTCGGGGTCTAAGTTCACTATGGGTGCTCGTCCGGCCATGAGCACGGCAAACTTCCAGTCCGAACCCGCCTTCGCCGGCCCCAGCTTCTCGGATCGGATCTGCTGTCGATATAATATGCTTGCGGCAATCTTAGCACCCTGGCTAAATCCGAGAAGCCCGACCCAGGGACCGGTGGCACCCGCGCGGTCGTCGGCATCCATAGCGTCTTTCAGAGAGGCGTTAATGTCTGCAATAGCACCGTCGTCTTCTAATTCCGGATGCTCGGGAAGCCAACGGAGCCACCTTTTGAATGGCCCGTGCTCTGCATAGACCGAAAGCACGTCCGGGCCGGCGCCAGACTCGTAAGGCGCCTCGGCATAAACCATGCGGAAATAAGGCTCTAGCGTCCGTGACACTACGCGACATTGGGCCCTAAAGATACGGGCATTGGTTCCGCCGCCATGCAAACAGAGGATGCGCGGTAGATGTAAGGTCGTATCTTCACGCTTGGTCACCATGATGCGATGCGTATGTGGTATAGGTATTAATAACAGCAATGTAGTTAATTTGCCGAGTAAGGTTGGCCGGGGTCTATGTAGCGAAAGAGGATGGTCAAGCAAAAGGCAAGAGGGGTGATGGATGGTGTGGTGTTGTCAAAAACTATGTATCCGCGTCTATGGCGGATCGTAAGCGGAGGGGAGCGAAGGGATCAGGATTCCTCACCAAAATATTCCTGCTAACCAATTAAAATGCTGGAATCTGATGATTGTTTCGGACTTCACCAACATTATGTTAGTAAGCTGTGTCAGCTCGTACTCCGATAATAGCCTAGTGTTACAAGTATCTTGTCCTGCCTGTCAGAATAAGCAGCCAAATTTCAGCCAATTGAGTTCGAGGCTGCACCCGAATAGTGATAAAGAAGCCTAAGCGCGAAAGTTGCACGCCTTCAACTTTGTCCTTACTTCAATACTTTTACTTCGTCTTTATATATCAGATAAAAATAAGTTAACTCCAACCCAATCACAATTACCCCAACCGTCCCACCATTTAGAAGCATCATGCTTAAAGCTCTGCTGGTGTAAATATTGATACTAGTATTCACCAATGGAGATTTCTCTAAAGATGACCTGAAGTCCTTAAGGCTAACTCGGAGACAATGGGACAGTATTGCAATTCGATTAAAAAAGGCCGCGGCGCATTCTTAAATATCGCATTTGAAAATCTATTGTTTTTCTTTCCTCTTTAACTACCTGACGTTGGATGTGTATCAGCCACATAAACAAATCCGAATACCTCTATGACCTACGAGGCTTCATCATGGCATCCAAAGAGCTTACTCATCCCAACCAATGTTTTAAAAGCACATATGCGACATACAAAAATCATTACAATCAAGTATCTTCTTTCTCCAATATTCTTCTAGGTCAGTCAGACTCCTATCTTCCTGGGTTGCGTTTTTTACATATATCGGAAATACACATAACAGCTGAGCTACTCATGCTTACCGCCAGGAAGTACGCCATGACGTTACAGTCGCTTAGGGCAGACTCCAATGTGCCCTCAGAAACTCTCAGATCATTCTTGACTTAGTTCAGGACAGTAAACTGATAATACGGTAAACTTATGGGTGAGCCCAAGCCCAAGAATTATGCAATTCAACATAAAGACTTTGGGATGCATGATGTTCATTTTAAATGAAGGAATTGTTCTCATATGGACATATACCTACTCAAAGGAAAAAACAATTTCTTTTTAAGCTTTCATCAAAAACATAAATAGTAAGCTCATCGTATATTTAGCTACTATACTTAAGAGTGATTATTTAGTCTACTCTAGACATCATATTACTTACAGTAAACTACGGTAGAGCAACCGAAATCAGTTCAGGTTCTTGCAAGTCCAAGCCCTTGCTTCACCTCCTTAGACTTATTTCTTTGTTTTTTCTTGCTGCGGGTCATATTTCCCTTGCTCTTGCTGAAGCTTCTCCTTCAACAGCTGTTCCTGGTATTGCTTCTGCATTTCTTGCTCTGTTTCTACACCTTCTTCTACCTGATCGTACTTTTCGCTTATGTTAGTGAAGATGCCCCAAAGTAACCGGCAGTTATCACAATCCAGGGTCCTTGATCCCAAGAAATTGACATCTAATTTTGGGCAAAACTTAGTACATGCCAATCGACTGTCGCAGGGATCATAGTTCCTGTAGTATTCCGATATGTTCCCGCACATCGCACACATTATCCGGGTCATGTCGCAGTGACACATATTGGATTATGTATGTGGAGGTATAGAAAGGATTATTGGTATTGGTAACGGTGGTTATGGCGATTGAATAAAAATGCTGGATATGCTACTTTGTGATGAGTATATCGTGATGGTTAGTGAAGATGATGAAAAATAAAGGAGGCATATGGAATTCAAATAGCCGTTGTATCAACAACTTTGTTGCCGAAGAAGAATTGTACCGACACAGGTATCATGGCGTTATATAGTTCTACTACAACATCTTGGATTTAAACAACCGATAAACAACATTAGTTACGTCTCAGGAGATTAGTTGATGAATATTGTCACATAGATCATCAAGCTTCTCCCTTATTCCATGAAGCTCAGTCAGTTGATTAAGTCACCGTATAACTTGTATACCGCTCTTTTCACTACCTAGATATTCACTAATGCCTTCACACTGTCGTAGGCTTATTCAATCCTTATGTTAACGGCCCTGTCCGCGCCACATGGTTACGTAATATTACGTCCTTATAAAATACCTAGAAATTGGGAAGAGAGACATACCGTGAAACACTATGTTGATGATCTCCTCGTTCTGATGCTTTGTACACATGTAACTTGAAACGATCAAGTTGGGGTATAAGTACCAAAATGCAAGGGAGATAGCTTCCCTCTATGATTAGCTTGCTAGAATTCAAGTGATAGTGCTGTAGTCATTCCTATCCTACCATTCGCCTCTGGACCAAGCCTTTTTAAACTTGATACTTCAATAATTACTCCGGCCCGCGTCATGTTGGACATTATTCACTCGAACTACAACCTCAATCCGATATCGACAGGAAATAGCCTTTATCTGTTCAAAATCAGAATGGGTGGGGGAGGATGATGTAGGAACTACAGGCGAAGCCACGGCGGGGCAGGGCTCCTACCACGAAAAGGTGTGACGTTGATTTTCCGCCTCCTACCTCACAGTCCGGTGGTGCCACGAAATGGTTGGAAGAGGGTGTATTATTAGCTAATCCGGACTACGAGCTTGACATACTTGGGAAAAACGACGATTGCGAGAAAAAGGGGCGTATTTTGCGCGGGATCGAGAAGACTCGCGCTCATACATGCTAGTCACTCTCGACTTCAGTAATATCCGCGAGCTCACATCTTATACTTTCTAGAATTCAACTACCACATCATTGCTATTCGCCTGACCTTTACAGCCCCCTGTCTTCTTACCGGGTAACAAACCCGCAGTAGGTGTTGACCCCGTAAACGGGACCGAGTGGTGGGTATATATACTTGACATAACCCTCGCGGTTTCAGTTAGCTAGTTTCGGATGCACCTGGGAGGTTAACCCTCTGTTCGTACCAGAACTAACCTCCGCAATCCTCGATAACTTTGAGAGCCTACCACTTACACCACCAGAGGTCTGTCCCGTAGGCCGTCGCAATTCAAACCCCATTTATGGCGCTGACATTTAAGCTGCGGGGTTATGTGTGCTCGTACCTAGGTAATATCACAGATTGTTATTTTGAGCGGATGTAATAGACTATTGCCACTGTGGGTGTGGCATGAAATGATCCTACGCAGTACATTTCTACCCCTTGTTCCAGGCCTCAACGATATCGCTGTGGGAACAGAATAATAGCGACCTAGAGCCTAATTGGGGGCATGTCGACCGCAAGGTTATCCAGGAGGCTTGGTACATATGGGACGTGGAGAGAAGAGTGCTAAAACTCCCCAAAGGACTACGCAATCGCAGACGGACTTATAAATTAACTAGGGAAATGTTCAGATGTTTGTAGAATGAATAACTACCTAACCTAGGTGCCTAAATATCTAAATCTAAAGATTTTATTCCAAGATAAAGTAACTAAAAGAGGAGTTTCTCTTTTTGCCGATATACATCATATCAGTGCCTGTCTAGAGATAAATGTCGGGAAGTTCGGCTTCAGCAAATCAGAACTATGTTAAGAGTTCAGCTGCATCTACCTAGATAGGTACTTCCCATTTTATTCTGAGTGTGCAAGAGCGAAGCATATGACATGAGTAGGTCAAAGCTCAATCTCCGAGTCAGCCAACAGTAGACCTGTTGAGACATAGAGGGCCAGCCGACGCCGATCCTCTAGCCGATGTTCGTATGTCGCTCGCGGGCCGGGAGGCGGCTATGTTCCTCGTCGGTCGGTGGAATCAGCAGTCTCAGTCGTCGCTGGAGGATCGTGTCCAGTTCGCGGGTCGGAAGGCGAAGCCCGTGCCCCGTCGTCGTTGGCACGAGGTGGTCTTCATCGTTCAGAGGATCGTGTCTGTTACCCTGCTGGCGCGGGTCGGAAGGCGGCAGTGTTCCCCGTCGGTTGGAACGGCAGTCTTCGTCGGGTCAGAGGGTAGTGTCTGGTTCGCGGGTCGGGAGGCGGGCCAAGGTCTCGTCGTCGCTTCCCAAGGGCAGTCTCAGTCGATCGCCGGAGGATGGTGTCCGGGGTTAAGCCTAGAGCTAATAGATAGTTAAGTAGTAGTAGCGGAAGGTTAGAGTAAGTAGCCAAGTAGTAACATGTATCCAGAATAGGTGGAAAGGATAACGCGAAAGTCGTAGGAGTAATCGGTAGAGGTGGGGGATTGGAGGGTTGCCTAAGGGTGGAGGGGCAACCGAAAAATAAGGTGATAGATTAAAAATGAATGATGAAAAATGGCGGATAATGTATTCCAATAAATGATATTTAGTCAGGAAAGATTTGATTGTAGGAGTGAGATCGATAGGATTGGGCGCGGTCGGAAATGAATGTGAACAAATAAAAAATTAGTCAAAATAGATTTGCAAAAAGACAGAGGTAAATTGTAACTGAACATGATAATAAGAATTGGGAAAAATTATATTAGATTAGGAAGTAGATATAGAAAGATATCATTAGTAAAGGTTGAATATTCAAGAAGATTGGTGATGAGTTTTCGTTGTGAAGTGAAGAGTAGTAGAGAAAAGGTGGGAGAAAGATGCGAAGGTAGGGAGGGGATGCCAAAATATATATACTATTTGGGCGGGCGGTCTGATTAGAATCTGATTTGCACTGATACTGCCAAACCTTTCAAATCAAAGGTTACGGTCTGTTGATTCCTAAAGTTATGTTGGGGTACGCATGTACCTCTTCTTGATTCTTAGTACGTAGATGATTTTGATATTGATCCTGACTTTGAGGCTCTTTTAGTGGGTCTGGCTGGGGATCAGGTTCGAACCTTAAAAGTGGGTAGAATTAACTGACCAATCATACATCCTTGTCATATCCCGAAATGGAATTAAATCAATTAGTAAGGGCGACGTACCTAGGTATTTTATTTAATCATCCCGGACAACATTCGAACCTTCCTTAAGGACCTACATATTTTCAACTCTTGATTGTATCTCATGTAACTCCAATGGTATATCTAATGAAATACGTATCAAATCAGGTACTCTTAGATACGTACATGTGCTTAGGATC